AATATTTTTGAAATAGTAAAGTCTCTGATATCCCTGGGAGGTAGGTGAATATTTATACCCAATTGTCTCATGGGTAATCTGAGGCACAAAGGTTAGTTAAATGATGTCCCCGTAGACACAGTAATTTAGAAATTAACACACACTACTGAACTCTGGCTGCCTGACAAAGTTTTGCTACTAGGAGTCTCTGCTTTCTCCTTTTAGCCACCAGTCTCTTTTCCTCAAATAAAATTTTACTTAAAAGGGGGCACTTATTAGATATACTGTATTGTTTTTGAGGATTGGTTCAATTTAGTCTCCCTTAACATGTCACATTTATATATTTTTCACAAGAAACAGACAAATCTTAAGATACTGAAAATTATAGTATTTTGCTCAAGGGAGAAATCTAAACAACCAGAAAATCAGAGCCAAATGTAGTTATCTGACTAAAAAAATAAAGGCTGAAGAGCTCTCAAGAATGCTATAGATTATATGAGTGTCGTCCTCAGTATCTGAAGTTGTTCTACTTCTATGTTTATTAATGTTATAATAAATATGTAGCTATGATTTCTTTAAAAATCATTTCTCCAGAAGAAAATGATACATTTTTAATGTTGACACAGTTGCAAACTTCCTTCAAAATGTATTCAGATAGCATCACACGGTTCCAACTCTAGCCCTACAAGTTTTGAGTCTTGCCTGCCACAGTGCACTTAATCAATTCAATCCACAAGAGACTCTTGTTGGTCCAATGCTTTCTCCTATATTACGTATGCCAAGTTTGAATGCATGGAGCAGTAGGTTATATCCAGGAATAGTCAACGAATCTGCTAAATTTATTTTACTCGTAAAACTATATATTTATATATATATGTATATATATATCTGTTACATCTACAAACAGATATTTAAAGGGGAAAGATAGCATTTTGTGAAAAGACAATTTCCCAATCCACCTAGTTAATCAACTTGACTAAAAGCAACAGAATAAACAAGGCAGAAGTTTTGCAAATGTTGAAAGGGGAGTGTTCAGAGAGGATGCAATGATACAGCAGCCACTAGTTTTATCTGTAAGTCTATACGTATCTTTCAATATAGCCATATACACATAAAGAAAAGGAAGAACATTACAGCATGACGTGACATTGGCAAGTTTGACATTCTTCCTCCTGAATCCCCCTGACTTATCAGTCTGCACTTTAGGAGATCTGAGAACACTTTCGAAAGAGGGGAAAAAAGTAAAGGAAAAAAAAAAAAGGCACTTAACAAAGACAAAGGCCTGAATTGAGCATGTTTTAGAGGAGTAATATAAGCATTTATCAGAGCTAAGAAATTATTTACAAAGAGTTAAACTTTTCCCTTAAAATTTTATAAAATAAAATTGCATAACATGTTTGTGATCAGTCATTTATCTACTACTGCACTTTTCTTCTGCTTCATTTTTACAAAACTGAAAGCACCCCACACAAAGCAAAAACAACAAAAAAACAATCATACATGCAAAATAGAAAGTAAAAGTGCCCCTTCTGAGAACATTAGGTCAGCAGAAATCATAGTGCTGAAGCACAGGGAAAGTTCTCAAGTTTGGCCTGATTATAAGATTTTTCTCATTCTTCTATTTTCAACTTGAAAAACAACAAAAGCCAACAAATGAAGCAAGCAAATTCAAAACAAAATGATAAAAACAATATAGGGACCAGTGTGCTTTTTTATGGTACACTCCTAAAATAAAGTATCCTAATTCTACACATGGGTCAAATTATATGACAAAACTCCTAGAAATAAAGAAGTGTAAATTAAAGTCATCCAAATACAAGTTCATTTTACAAAGGTAGCAGCAAATATGATAGATAACTGGAGTTTGAGAGGTGATCCCAAAGGACACAGAGTTCTCAATATCAATGGCAGTTTGAATAACAGTAGAATTTTCATTTCAGAAAATGTCTTAAACCAAGTAGAGGTGGAAAGGAGTATGGGAGAGGGCAACCAGAGGAGAGAGACTAGAGGTGCCTGCCCTTTCCATCCCTGGGTAGTAAACAATTTAGATCTGCTTTGGGAAACAAATATCCTGGGTTAAAAATCAGTTCCAATAAGTTGTTTTCAAACAGGTGTCAAACCCACAGTATTAAAAAACTTTTCTGTGCCCAGTTCTTCCCCTTATGTCGGAAATCCAATAAACCCGATTCAGTGTCTATGATACAAAATAATGTAATTTGGGCTAACAACATCCATCAAAGGGGTGGTGGGCATACAACAATTTACTAGCACAATCCTCTTGATTTCTTTAAGATATCAGGATTTTGTGGCTACAGATCAACCTCACTTCTTTTCCCAAAACCTTTTCTTCAGGATGTTTTAAAATCATGATTTCTAAACCTCTGATATCAGAAGCATATGAGAAAAAATTATAATTAACTTATAATGGAAATTATTGCTTGCATTTACTTTGGAGGCTCTGAATGAGCTTGACACTTTGCTCCCAAACAGTCTCCAACTGAGGCCCAGCACTGCTATCTCTGAGGACAGCTCTGCTGACCGTTATTGCTTGTGAATACTGAGGATTACCTAGTATGTACAGTAACAGCTTATATATCAGTGAAGGCAATTTCAAACATAAGACAGTTGGAAACAAACAGCTTAATCTTCCTGAATCAAGAATCCCGCTGAGTGGGATATAATTAAGTGTGCTGATTACTTTTGCATGTGGATGTTGCTAATGCTCTTTAGAAATACACATTGTTCTATAGATAACCTTTCCAATCATTCACCATTTTAAAAAATAACATAATTTGATTTTAAGTGCAAAAATACAGTATGAGTCACAAGTCTCTGTTAAAAAATAACCAATTTATATGTTTGTTTTTTAGTAATAAAAACTGTAAAGACAGGTGACCATGAAGCTTGGACACCATTTTCAATGTTAGGATCTAGAAAAGAAATGTTTGTATTTACATGCAGAAATCTCTGATCATACTTTATGGAGAAAGACAAGGATTTTGACCCATTTGTACAACATAAAAGAGGGGTCTTGATTGAAACCAATAAAAATTGATCAGTAAAACGGGGAAGGGGGTTGCTGAGGTGGAGATCTGATATAGTTGTCAAGGATTCAAGACTGAAGAGAATAGAACATAATCTCTATATCATATTCTCAGAGCCAAGGGCCTTCAGGTATTTGACTGGGTAGCATAAAATGACACAGGAGAGAATTAATCCTGATGTTTTCTAATGAAGGCAGAGTCCTCAAGGATCTTCATATAGCATGATTCAGAATTGGTGGATTTAAGAAATTACAATTATTATTCTTTGACTTATACCAGCAATTCATAAGAAGATACATGTGTATATGTGCACACACATACACATGTGAACGCCATATACAGCTATTGGCAGGAAGGCAAGGTTAATATACTCTCTAACTTCTTTCCTGGCAGACAAAGTAAAGTAAAGCTCCCTTTTGGAAGGAAAACTCATCACTGTACCCAGGAATATGAGCAAAGGCAAAAGCAAGAGGTCTGTTACAATGGAATAATCATGAGTCTAGTAAGCTTCCCTAATTAAAAAATCAAATAAATCTTAATCAAACTTACTGAATTCAAATCAAACCTCTTTATAACATCCCGGTATCCCTCTAAAATATCTACCAGGATTCATCCACATTTGTTTTATTGGTAAACTAAATTCTGAAGAGGTGAAATATTATATCAATGATTCCTTTGAAATAATCATTTCTCCTTACTGTAACAAGTTCTCGGAACTGAAGTTTTCAGTTATTTATTAACCCTTTTGCTATAAAACAAGCCAATGTGACTTTGAAGTCAAAATATAGGCATGTAGATCTGAACAGATCTGTGATTATTTATAGTCCTGTAGGCTATTTGGGACTTCTGTTTACTAAAGGAAAAAAAGGGCCTCATTAATACTCTTATTTGAATAAGCTTACTGGTACAGGGTAATGGAAATATGGAAGAAAGCTTGCTATCACCAATCTAGTGCTGATTTTTTGGTTAGTCTGCCATAAACTGACCAAGGTTACACCATGCAGAGCTTAACCATTCTTGGGTATAGTTTGAAAATACTTATAAGTTTAAAACTCAAGAGATAACAGAATGATGAAGAGGCAAAATAAAATGTATGCAAAGAGAACTATAAATGGTTCCCTTCACATCCTTTGTTAGCTATGCTATTTGCTTAGTTAAAGAAGCTATAATAACTAAGTAGTCTTCTTTGTAGGCTTACTTGCTATCAACACTGAGAAATATCAGTAAAGCTTTAAAACTCCAAATGCTTGAAACAATTTCACAACATTGGATAAAGCGAGTTAAACCACATTGTGATTGTTATAAAAAAGATACTCCCTTGTACATAATGAGCCTAATGCAATTCCTCTCCCTAAAAATTAAAAAAACAAACAACTATATATGTGCTATTTGGATGACCAGTGAGAAAACACAGGTAGTACTCACTGCCACCTGTTTGTATCAACAGCCAACAATCACCTGAAGAACCCCTAGCTGAAGGAAGAGAGAGGGAAGTTGTGAGGTGAACTTGGGGGAATTTACAGTTTTTGTTGGTAGGGCCTGCAAGGGTGAATGAAGATGAGGAAAGCAGCAGCCCTATAATAAAGATTTCCATTACTCAAGTGAAACTGAGTCACATTTTAACATCAAGACTAGAAATAAAAATGAACCAGTCAAAACTAGATACATAAATCACCTAAAGAAAAGAGTTAAGTACCTACTTCTGAGTGGAAGATGAAATTGACCCTTTCACAAAAAAGGGGACATGTAGGTTTTTGTCTGTTAAGAGCAACAGGCTCAATTTCTTGACTTTTAAAAATCTAAATGATTTAGTAATATACATAACTGTGCTAAAATAACTTTCCTGAAGCATCTTCAGTCCACTGATTTACATGGGGAGTTGCTACATACTGGAGAAGATTCAAGTTTGCTCAGGATGTTTGAGGGTACAGTATTTCTTCAGCTAGTGTTTATATCAGACATAGGGTCACCTAATTATTTTGTTGCAAATTTGCTAAATGTCCACTTAAACAGGCATGATTATTACTCCTGACAAACTAGCCTAATTCCAGATCTATTGCTTTTATTATTCAATTATGTCTACAAGTGTTCAGAGCCAACCCCCAGGATGGATGGTGTTTACCCAAATCCTCTCAACTTCCTCCTTCCTCCCCCAGGGGAAAATAATTTGTACTTCTGTGGGTTTGACAGCTGAGTCTCTTTCAAGTCAGGTAACATGGTAACTTTGTCTTTCTTTAGCAGAGACCAAAGGTCACTAACTTTGCACAAAAGCATTTCTTCCTCCTGCACCTGGCTTTGCTCAAGTAATGTTTTCTTTCCTTTTCCTCCTCACCACAGTGCTTGGGACGAGAATGTAAACATCGACAGAAACAGCAGCCCTGTGACCACATAAGGACTTTCCCATCAGGTAGATCCCGTCAGCCAGCTACACGTCTCATCTCTCTGCTTGCTGAGAAGTCACTGAGATTTCCGTGGTAACTTAGTGTCCCCTTTACTTTGGCCTCCATCTGAGAAAAAGAGATGTTAAACTGGTATAGTTTGGCATGTTGTAAAAAGCAAATAAGAGAAACAGAACAAAAAAGACTTTAAAATTTTTATGTGGATGACCTCTCTCAAAAGATAACCTTTAATATTTCACATGGTGTAAAGCACTATAGTGGCTGATTATGTCCGATGCTGGGAGGATTATAAAGGAATGAGAATATTCCCACCTTCTACCACATCTTTTGATCCCTTTGAGAAAATTTTTAGTTGGAGACAGACACAATACCTTTGTTTATTTATTTTTATGTGGTGCTGAGGATCAAACCCAGTGCTTCACATGTGCTAGGTAAGCGCTCTACCACTGAGCCACAACCCCAACCCCAATGACACAGTATTTGATAATTAATTCCCACTATGTAAACGAATGCAGCACATTGGTAGTGAAAAATTCAGCTGTATTTCTGTTTTGGTCCTAACCTAGCAAAAGTCTAGGTTACTGGGAACCTAGTCTGCTACTGGGAACAATGGTTTCTATTTCTACATTCTATTGTTTTACTGTTTATGGGGAAAATGTTGATTATTTAAATCTTAGCTAAATTACCTACAAATGCTGGGAGAGGATAGAAAAAGGGGATACCTGGGCAAGAGTAGGACCCAATGACCCGGAGAGCCAACGGAATATAGAGAAAGTCTCTAACAGGTTAAAGCCTTAGGCAAGGAAAACGAAGGCCCCAAGACAACCCAGGCCTGAGAGAAAAAGACAGGGGAAGGAAAGCTTTACTTCAGGGAAGAGGCATGAATGTTAGAAACACACAGGTGAAAAGGAACAAATTATTACAGCACAATAACAGAATCTTAAGGCTGGAAGAGGCCATAAATGTTACATGGCCAGGCCCACTCATGTGATATCTACATTACTTTGGAAAAACAAAAAACCAAAAAAATTGCCTCTCTTGAAGAAAAGCTGTATCAATGAAATACATATCTATTTCAAAAGCTGTTATTAATAGAATACTATTAAAATGACTTTGGTGATAACACCTAAGTTTTTCTCATTTATAATAGGATATATTTACATTTGTAGAGAGAAATGGTTTGATCTGTGGTATAATTAAATTCATAAAATGGTACAGCAGTTTAATAAATGACATTTTGCCCAAAGAAATTTTAAACTGAGTAAAATAAAATACTCAGATTTAACTGGACTGAATTTTTTGGTTTTCCTCCAGTAATGAGGATTGAACCTAAGACCTCACTCCACATGCTAGGAAAGCACTCTACCACTGAGCTATATCCCCAGCCCTTTTTGTTTCATTTTGAGATAGGGTCTTGCTAAGTTGCACTGACAGGCCTTAAACTTGCAATCCACCTGCCTCAGCGTCCTAGTAGCTAGAATCATAGGAGTATGTCACTGAACCAGGCTTGGGCTGTGAAATTCTTTACCTGGCCTATCTCCTGTTTTTGTAAATAAAGTTTTGTTGGAACCCTGTCAAACTTGTTTGTTTACATATTGACTATGGTTGTTTTTGTCCTGTAATGGTAAGGTTGAGTAGTGGCAACAGACAACATATGCCTACAAAGTCCTTTACAGAAAAAACTTACTGATCTATTGTTTCAAACAAGAGAATTAACATTAACTGGGTTCTTACTACGTACCAAGTACCATGCTAGAAGCTTTAATCAGTTATTTTTATTAGAGTCCTATAAGAAGTCTATTTAAAACATCTTTTTGTCCTCAATTTATAAGCAAGAGAAATGATGGTCAAATAAGAATCCTGCTACAATTGGCGGTTCTGGAATTAAAAACCCAAGGCTGATCCTTTTTTTTTTTTTTTTTTTGATGGTGCTGGGGATTGAACCAAAGGTCTTGTGCAAACACTCTACCAACTGAGCTATATTCCCAGCCCACTCAAGTCTGATTCCCAAGTTCAATTTTTTTATGGTAAAAAGTGTTTTTATATGAAAAATTTTAAACTTTTTAACTTTAATTATTTGGAAGATATGGATAGTCATATCTCCCTTCTGGTTCTGGAATGGTGGTATTGAGCAGACAATAAGATGATTCACATAAGAGCTGAATACTGAGGTCTTCTTGAGTCACAAAAATCCAGTTTGTATAATTCCTCACAGATGGTCATACTCATGCCAATCTGCCCCAGGAGCAGGCAGATGGTCCCCATCTGAATCATGACACTAAGCAAATGTCCACAGTCAGGGAGGATCCAGTTCAGTCACAGAGCAATCATCCTTATGAATGTAAGCCTAATCAAGTTCGGCAAGATCAGGAGTGCTGATATTTGTTACTACTTTGTATTGCCCATTTTGTACAACTGGATGAGCCTGGTCTTATTTATTTATTAATATTTATTAGGTACTGTGGCTTGAATCCAGGGGTGGTTCACCACTGAGCTAAACCCCCAGTCCTTTTTAAAAAATTTTATTTTGAAACAGGGTCTAAGTTGCCGAAGCCAACCTCAAACTTGTGATCCTCCTGCCTCAGTCTCCTATTTCGTTGGGATTATAGATTATAGATTGTGATCAGTTATTTTTTATTTTTAACTGATATACAAAACCACAAAAGATGTACACATTAATGGGATAGCATGGAAGGTTTCATACATATATTCAGTGTAATGCTCAAATCTGGTTTAACTTTTTTTAAAATAAATTTTTGATAGTGAAAACCCTCAAAATTCTTTCTTCTAGATTTTTGAAATATACAGCACCAAACTGTCAATAGTACATCAGAGCTCCTTCCATCTGCCTTTGGTCTTTGTTTTTTTTTTTTAATCATATATTCTTTAGTTGTAGGTGGACACAAACCTTTATTTAGTTTTTAATGCGGTGCTGAGGATCGAACCCAGTGCCTCACGTGTGCTAGGTGAGCGCTTTTCCTCTGAGCCACAACCCCAGCCCCTGCCTTTGGTCTTTTAGAGGATTAATGGCAATTTATTGCCTCAAGGTTGTTATGTAGCTCCCATTTCTGCACTGTGGTCAATGGTAAACTGGTTCAAAGATCACTTTTAACGCAGTGGTTAAAAAGAATAGCGAGGTTCTTCTCAATTTCCAAAGTTAAAGAAGGTGGATAAATAGTTATTTCTCTTCAGAAGATCCTAAAAATGGCCTCCAGAATTGTATTTTAGGTGTCCACTGAGATCACCTAGTGGTATGAGCAAGAATCTGGGCCTGGTAACACATGCCTGTAATCCCAGTGGCTCAGAAGGCTGAGGCAGGAGGATTCCAAGTTCAAGGCCAGCCTCAGCAATTTAGTGAGGCCCTGAAAAAACTTAGGGGGGGTTTATTTCAAAATAAAAACAGGCTGGGAATATGTTTCAGTGGTTGAATGCCCCTGGGTTCAATCCCTGGTACCAAAACAAAACAACATCCCCCACCCCCAAACAAAACAAAACAAAACCAACAACAAAGAATCTGGAGGCCAATGTTTTATAAACAGGGCCAATATCCAACATCGGATTTCAGAGTGGGCTAGCAGGGCAGCAAGCAAGTATATAACGCATAGCATGAACCACATTAATTTAATCAATGCTAAGATGCAGGAAAGTCTAATGGTTAAGAAGAATACAACCTGGATGAGAGTGTAGCTCAGTGGTAGAGTGTGTGATTTGTATGTATGAGGTGCTGGGTTCAATTTTTAACACTATTAAAAAAAAAAAAAAAAAAAAAGAACATAGGCTTTCTGGATTTGTATCTCAGACGACTTACTGGTGTGTTACCTTGGGTAAGTTGCTTATCTCTGATTATTTTCTGATCTGTAAAATGGGGATCATTATTTATCATTCATGAGCTTGTTCTGAAGATTAAATAACTAATCGCATTAAACAGACACAAGACTAAATGGCATTTAGTGAGCTTTTGACAAATATAAACTACTATAATTTTGCAATGACTTCTGTTAACTATTTTTAAGAATCTTCTTAGCTATCATTCCCATATAATAAATACTTTCAAAAAGGCTCTTTTCATAACAAAAGATCTAATTTACCTATTTTCTTTCTTTTAAAGTGAGTTTGTTGCCAATGAGCAGGTATTAAATTTTTTCCAACTTTTATCATTCCATTTACATTGTTTTCAGAAAAGTATAATCTGTATCTATAAACCTATATAAATAATAGAGAGATGAAGAAATAGGTCATTTTCTTACCATTAAATGTTTGCTGTAAATGTGTAGGCAGAGGTGAATGGGAAAGTGTTGCTGTATGCTGAGCTCCTGGCTGTAAACCCTTTAGTAAATCTGAGAAGAAAACAGAATTTGTCAGTGATCTTTCAACAAAGATTTAAGCTTTCTTAAAATCAAACCTAAAAATAGTTCAATTTATCTAATGTCATCATAGCCCCGAATTCAAAGGCCTTCTAAAACTAGAATATATACATTTTTTAAAAGTTTACATATGTAAATGTAGATAAGTATATGCAAAGAACCCAACAAATTTGACTTCCTTTTATAATTTCACTTAGAAGTGCAGTATAGAAGGTTCATTAGTACATTCTAAAACTGTAAATAAATTCCCAGAGTCCAGTAAGTTGACTTCTAGATGAAATCAACTATACTTCTTTTTTAAAAAACCTGTATTCTCCCAGAATTCCAACTGGACTGCTCTTAGTCAGAATCAATGACTGAGGCTCCCTGTTCTCTCACACTAGACAGCCAAGGAAAAGAAAGGCCCCACTTACTCTGAGTGAGGCTATGGTGGAAAGCGGCTGAGGTAGATCCTGAGGTGGCTGTCACTCCAGCTGTGTCCGTTCCAAAGCCAAGTAGCTCCAAGGGAAACTGGAAGGGCATGGTCACTGGAACAAGGCCACCCAGCATCCCAAAAGGAGTCACATTTTGATTTGTTACAGACAAAGGTGATGTCATGAGAGTCAGAGGTGAGGCATTAGCCAATAATGATGCTCCTGCTGTGGACTGTGCAGAAACCAGGGGTCAAAATAGATAATAGAGCAGTCAACCTATTGATTTATTGTATTTAATATCCTCATGGATGCAAGACTGTGTCTTGTTCTAATAAACTCTGTGAGAGAAAATAAGAGTTAGGTGAAAATTACATTTTAAAGAGCTACCAATATTGATTTTGAAAATCTGCAAATTACATTTAGAATTTCTTTACAGAAATTCAGCTATTCACCACTTTAGACCCCCTCTTAACTGGTCAACATGATTCACTCTCCTAATCTAACTTCTACCCGTACATTTCCACTTCTTCACTTTTGCTCCAGGCCTACAGACATGAATCAGTATAGAAATAATTCCATGCAATTTCATATGGTTCAATCCTTAACACTACTAAAAAAACTCATCTTCTGGCTTGTCACCATCTCTCCTGGCACAATCTGTGCAACCGCTGCTCTTGCCAGCCCCTAATCTATAGTCTTGACTTCCACGACAACACCTATAAAGAGATGAAGTCACCTGGATGTTCTTCCTCATCTTTAGCCTTACCTGCCCTTCCCCATGGGTAACTGACAACCACCTGGCTTGTGCCACAAATCCCACCTTGCAGAGCTTTCTTATAGAAATCTCCAGTATCACATTTTTTTCCATGTTTCCTCTGCTTCTCATATACAGACCTCTAATTCATATTTACAGTCACAGTTATTCTTGACTCTTCTCCAACTCCTAGTAACAACCTAACTTATTTGTCTTCCTTTTATTATTAAACTTGCTGAACTCACAGCTTTCTTTTCCACATCTAGTTTCTCCTTACCCTCTGAAAGCTGATGTCTACATCACTACTTTATTTAAGACTCCCTAAGGTAAAAGGTAAACTAGTGTTTTCATGCTCCTCCACCTGATCTTTGAGGTGCTGTTTGTGAATAAAGGCATTTAGATCAGAAATATGCTAACACTGATGAGCTTTCATTGGAAAACTACATAAATATACCCCTTAAGCTAATTTAATTCTTTCAGGAATTTTGTATGCTGCAATTAAATGATTTTTCCCATTTTGACTTTTTTTCTTTTCTACATGTAATTATCAACAAATATTTGATACTATCAAGTTTGTGCCACTGAGTTTTCTTTTGCAGCCTTATTTTACAAAATATATACAGTTAAAAATACAAAATATATTCAGTTAAAAACTTTATAGTTATAAATGAGGTCAAGAAAGTGGAATTCTTTAAATTTTTTTAGTCAATAATAAATGTGAGCTATTATCAGTTTTATTTTGGTTGTTATTTCTACCCCAAACCCCATTCTAATAAAAAGTGGTGGTATTATTACTTAGTCAACTATAAGGAAAATATACACAATTTTTCTGTATGTGTATGGAACACTACATGGATTTGTACGCTTAAAGAGTTCATGCCACTGCTGGACAAAACGTGAAGAATGTTCTTTAGAAGTCTTTTACTTTGGTTATTGCACTTGTTCTTTTATTTCCTCCCCTCTCTCATCTCCTTTGCTATTGTTGACATTTGTGGCCTCTTGTTTCAACTCTAATCCTGTGTATATGCCAGTTTGGTGAAAGGTCACACTGGTGCATCTGAAACTCACTGACCTGACGTGTCCCGAACTGGAATCTCCTTCTCCAGTCAGCCCCACCTCCTGCTAGCTGGAAAGTCTGCTCCTTTCTAGCCACTGAGGCTGGGAACCTTATTTTTCAAGCCTCATAAAATGAAGGATGAGATAAGCTCATAGTCAACAAACCCATTCCTTCTTTTTTTACCAGAACCACTTCTTATTTTAGTACACATCTTCATCAGTTTACACTTGGACTTGACAGCTTTTGAAATTTGCCAGTTTTTTCCTCTACTGTGCCAACTACGATACAAAGAGTTGCATTTAAGAAAAAAAATTACCAAGTTAGAGTTAATAATGTCTTAAAATGACTAGGACAAAAGCATTTAAAAATTAGCAAGTCGTTTCTTCATTTTAATCATAATTTTATGACAGAAGGCAATGACAAGGATGATATAGAATCTCCAAGGTTGTGTGCTCGACTGGTGACCCCCAGTGAAAAACACTAAATCTAATAAGGAGAACCTTTTAAATTTTTTTCTGGGGGAGTCTAATTGAAGCACTAAAATGGATGGAAAATATAAATTAGGGCAAGTTCAAAACTAAATAACTTGAGTATTAGCAACAACCAAAAAAAAAAAAACATGCCATAACTAACACTTTATACTTTCTAAGAATTTCCATACCCACCTTTGTTTATAAATCTAAACTGAAGCACCAGAAAATTTAAATGTTATGTGTGCAATTATCAACTTCTCTAAGATGGAGCTCTTTCAGAAGCGAGGAGTCTGCTGCTAACATTCATCATGAAGTAGGTGAACAGTTCAGACAATGCCCCATAACCAGGGAAAATAAGAAGGGAAACCTTTTTCTTCCTATGGTGGGCATGAAACCTTTTTAAACCATGTGTTCTATTTTGGTATTTTTGTTCTATTTTGCATCTGTCCCCTATTCTCTACAGTACCTACAGTGATCTTTCAAAACATAAATTAGACCACACCACTCCTCTGTTTAAGACTACTCTCCAATAGCATTCCTGCTACATACAGAATAAAATCCAAAAGTATTACTGTGGTGCACCCTGACAAAGTTCTCCATGACACAGTGAGGTCTCTTTCCCCCAACAGTCTAGGCCTTCAACTCAGGCTCTTTTTCCCCCTCAATGTCTTCACACTGCCATTCCTTATCACCTGGACTTTACAAGACTAGCTCCTGTTCATTTGATCCTTAGTTTAAATGCTACCTCCTCAAAGAGGCTACTTCATTCTTTTTTCTGTTAGCACCTCTTTATTGGTGCTTTATTATTTTTTTCCCACAGTACTTGTTATGTTTTTTAAAAAAACTGTGTTTAACTCATCTTTCTACCTAAAATATATGCTCCATGAGAAAGGAACAGTGTTCCTCAATACCTACAAGAGTGCCTGGCACATAGTACATACTCAATCAACATTTACTGAATGAATAAGTGGGTTTTGGAATTATAAAGTAGCAATGATAGGATTCATAGAAAATCTGTATATTGAAGAGTAAGAAAGAACAGAAAATCTCTGGGTGGAATACTGTTAAACAGAAAGTAGGCAGAGGTAGCAGCTTCAACCCAGAAAGATTTTAACTTATGTCCTTTGTTAAAGGGCCTGTCATTTTCACTGCAAATGAGTAGATAGCTTCAGATGCCTTTCAGACAGGAGGTGAATACTTCACAGGAAGTCTGCTTTCAGGGTAAAGTGCTAGGACAGATCTGGAGGCTATAAGGTAGCTGATGAGACTTCAATGGATGCTATGTCAATAAGAAAACCACCTTAGGTTCACAAAGGGTAGAAATGACCTTTCTTCAGTCAAAGCAGTAAGAGAAAAAAAATTAGATCAGATATGAAGGCAGGGACATTGGATTCTCCACATTATAAAGCCATTTGGGAAACAAAGAAAACAAGGAGGGAGTAGTTACTTGTCAGAAACACAAATTCTGGCATACAGATTTTTTGTTGGCAAACCAATTCTTTGTTAGACAGTATCTGGGTTCTTTGGAAATAAATGATCAAACACAGGAAATTCTTTGGAGAAAATATAGAATGGATAGATTCTGCAGATGACAAAGGATGAAGAAAGTTTTAAACTTATACTCAAAGAAAAAGAAACAAGTAAAAAAATTTTTCTTTTTTAGCTCTAGGAACCACCCCCCAAAATTTATAAAGCAAGCAAATAAAACCACAATTATGATATTTAGCTCAAGAGAGACAATATTTACATAGTGAAGATTTTTGTGTGTGTGTGTGGTGCTGTTGGATTGAACCCACCAGGGCCCTGTGCATGCGAGGCAAGCACTCTACCAACTGAGCTATCTCCCCAGCCCACGTAGCCAAGAATTTAACCAAAAATTGTAATTTTTCTTTGAGAAGAATAAGGCAGGTACGTATAAGAGAACTATGAGTCTCATTTTTCATAATAAAAAGATAAAAGATACTATAGTACTAAAATTGATAAAATTAAGAGTTTTCTAATTACTACTGTTATTTAGAAATAAATATGTAGAAGAAAAATATTTAAAAGTGATGCTAAAAAGAAGGCTATGGAGTAGGCAAATGTCATTTTTGAGAGAATTCTAGTGATTCCTTTGATCAAATTAAAAGTTAATTTTCTTAAAAAAGTGTCAACTTTTTAGCAAAGATAACACAAAAGCAATGAGGAATAATTCCCAGTCTTTACCTATAATTAAAAATTTAATTTGCAATCTCTAATAACAATTTTGTTTCATTATTTCTTTTCCTTTCTTTTTCTTTTTCTTAGTGCTGGGGATCATACCAAGGACCTTGCATGATAGCCAACTAAACAACCCCTGAGCTACATACAAACCTCTTCTTTTTTGAGACTGGATCTCACAATGTTACCCATGTTGACCTTGAACTCCTGGACTCAAGTGATCCTTCTGCCTCAGGCTCCTAAGTAGCTGGAACTATAGGATCCTGCCACCTCCTGCTCAGCTTTAATTTCTTATTTTTGACTTAAGTAAAATTATACAGATAAAACATCAGTTAATACTTCAATACTTCAATTACTGAAGTACCATTCAACTGAATTTGTTCTACATTAGAATTTTGGAAGTCATTGCTAAACCTACTTAAAGGACAGCATGATAACTTGGGTATTAAATAGTATTGAACATAAACCCTTATATAGCAATGAACAGTAGGGTACCTCTACAAATAGCAAAGAGAAATCCTTACGTTACACATTCCTAGTCCACATACATAGGAGGCAGAACAAAGTTTTCAGAGTAATTTCTTAGACAATACAATTTCAAAAAACAATAAAAGTAATGTTTTCAAATAATATTTTAAAAACCAAAGACCTTGCATATCATGGTACATTTTTTTAAAAGCTGGTTATGAAACAGAATATTATGTCAAACAAACTTTCTTGAAGAGTAAAAATGATATTGAATGCAGCAATGAAATGTATGAATAATAAAGACTTCTCAAAAAACCTAGGATAAATGAAACCAATATTCTTGGACTGAAAAAAAAAATCAGCCAGGTCTGAAATTAAGAGGTGTTACTATTTTAGGTGCAAAATTAATGAAAACCAGGCAAACCTGGCCATAGTCTAACAACACTTGCATTTCAAGGAAAAAGAGAAAAATTTTACTAGCATTTAGGCAAAGAAAACAAATTACTCGTAAAAGGGAATTTAAAAATCAGTATGGCTTTAAACTTTTCTATAATCTTAACACTAACCAAGGGTCAGGGGAGCAATATTTAAGATTTTGGAATGAAACAGTTAATGACCCAAGAAGTACATATGCACTAAAGTGTGACAGCACAGAAAAATGAATGTGTATGCAAAAGCTACAGTAAAGGGCCATCTGTGCTATCCTTCACACAGATTCCTACGTAAGGCACTCCAGCTAATTTGAGAGGCGAGTTTAAGTTAAAACTCATGACCAGGGAAAGTGTGGCATAAAAGAACTATTGACACCATTTGACAGAAGAGAATTACATATAAATTACTATAAAATTAATGTAAAAATTTGAAACCCGAGAAGATAAATGCTTAAAAAAAGAAAAAATAATACAAATGAATAAATTTAACTAAAAAATTTCAGGAGAAAAGGAAAGAGACAAGTGAATGTATGTTAAATTAATAAGCTACTACTTTTCAACTTTTTAAATAGAGTTCTAAATATGCACTTCAGTTGTAACTGTCAACAAATGTTAAGGTAAACATGATACTTTGCTAGAAAAAAAATCCACATCCTCCCCAAAAAACCTTATTCACATATGTGTCCATCACTGTGCTGTCAACACCAGGAATATTCCATGGCCATGCTGTAATCAGCCTATAATAAACAGTATATATATATTATAGTAAGCTCATTAAAGTGACTAATTTTATCAGATGAACATCCAGAACATACATACCTGCACACTGGCTGTTACCACTGAAGACCCTGAGGCTGAAGATGGTCTATGTGGAGTAGACAACGGTTTAGTAGCACCCTGTGTTCCACTTCCTGTTCCCCCAGATAGACTAGTTCTATTAGTTCCGCTTGAGTTAAGGTTGCTACCTCTGCTGGCAGGTACATTCATTGCAATTCCACTCAAGCTGTTCTTCCCAACAGTTCCAGTGGATGATGAGTTTGTTAGTTTTGAAGGGGCCTGAAGATTTTTTGTAGATGGAAGGCCTGAAGTGCGATTAGAGGGCAATAAATTCAAGGTGGGAGACTGCCTGCTGATGTTGACTCCACTGGGCTGTTTATGAACTGGGTTGTTACTGGTGGAGTGGCAACTCTGGGCTACTAGTGCACTTGGACTGGAAGAACTTGGGGATACAGTAGGCTTGGGAGTGGGGTTGGACTTAGAAATAAGTTTAGTTGATACTGAAGGCTTAGCTGAAAGAGAGGGCTTGGGTGAAGCAGAAGGCTTGGGTGAGGGCAAGGGTTTGGGAGATGTAGCAGGTTTGGGAGATGCGGCAAGTTTTGGGGATGCAGCCATTGAAAAAGGAGATTTGAAACCCTGCGTGGAAATCTGTGACACCATAGCCTTGGCTAAATAGTTACTAGAGGTAGTGGTGCTCGGTGCTGTCCTAGAAACCAGGGGGTGGGACCCCTGAGAACCATTTCCAGGCGAGGGCGTAGATAAGGGAAGGCGGTATATAAGTGGCTTCTCTGAAGTCTTAATGAGTGGGGATGAACAGGTAAGCTGGGGATTATTACTTAATTTCACCACTGGGTTGGTATGTGATTTACTAATGGTTGCTTGTAATGGAGACACATAGTTCTGTTGGACAGCTGAATGCTGGTGCACCTTTGTTACTTGTGTTAATGAAGAAGCTTCTTGGGCCTCGGATGTTCCCAGAGCATGAGAGGAGGCAGCAACTTGGGCTTGGGAAGAGGAGACATGAGTCTGCGAAGAGGAAGAAGCATGAATCTGGCTTGACCTTTGTAGTCCTTGCTGAAGTAGCCTGGCTGGCAAAGGTTCTAAGGAAACTTTAGGGTTCTGAATTGAAGAACCAGCAATAAGGCCTGAAGAGATGCCAGTATGAGCTAAATCCTGGGGTTTCTTTGGTACTGGCCCAGTGTGGCCAGCAATAAGACTCGATGAATGTGCAGTCTGAGTAGAATCTAGTTTTTTGGGAGTAGTCAGTGGCAGCTTACTCATGATACTTGCTAATTTTTCTTCTCTCAGTCCTGGACGAGGTTTTGTAGTTGGCATGTTTATTCTTGGACCAACTGTAGGGCCCTTATTCCCATTGTTGATGACAGCTAAAGCTTCAGAAACAAGATCTAGTGAAGGTGAGTGGTAAGAAAGGTCTTCGTCTAGGGAGTCGTCGAGGCAGATGGTTTCCTGGGCTGGTGTTGAGCTGGAGCTGGTTGAGGCAACAACAGAAGTGCTGGAGCTTGTGGAAGGACCACTGGCTGAAGCCACCAAGGATGCAGGAGCTTTCTGGTCCTTTTTTGGGCTACACTCCTAACATAAGCAGCATTATATTGGAAAAAGTACAAACAGTTTTAAAAAAATTAGAAAGTCAGTTTTTAAAGGACCAAGAAACTATCATGACGACTAAAAATAGTTTTTCTATTGGCAAATCTTGACAGACTGCCAAAATAAAAATAATTTTCAAGAGAACAGAGCTCTTGACTGAGCTGTCCTCACTAGACAAAGTATCTAATACACTGCACTGCCATACCCTTGACAGCCATTCTAAGACAACAGCTAAAAATGAGGTCAAAAGACTAATACATAGCAGTGACTGAGGAGCTCAATTTCTATAGCCCATCTGCATCAGATCTTCAAAACCTACTCCAAATCCATCTGCTTAGAGATTTTTCTCTTTTTATTCTCCAGGAGAAAACTGTGCCTTTATATTAAGACGCTACCCTTCTTTCTCTCTCTTTTTTTTTTTTTTTTTTTGTGGTGTTGGGGATTGAACCCAGGGCCTTGTGCATGTGAGGCAAGCACCCTACCAACTGAGCTATATCCCCAGTCCAAGACTATTCTTCTTGTCTAGTAAGGTTTGCAAGAATGCTGATCCTCTGACTCTATACCCTTTGCCACAGCTATTCACAGACAGTACATAAGGAAAATGGCACATCAAATTGACAAAAAAGATGAATTTTCTGAGCATATTTAAATCATGTTTTCTAGTCATCTGGTACAAGTCATTATACGTTGTAATTTTTTCAACATATATTTACTGGGTGTCCACTATGAGCAAGGACCTATGCTAAGAAAATAAGAGTATATGGGGCTGGGGTTGTGGCTCAATGGTAGAGCGCTTGCCTAGCATGCGTGAGGCACTGGGTTTGATTCTCAGCACCACATAAAAATAAAGAAAGAAAATAAGGGTATATTAGAAGTTATAACTTTGAATGCCCAAGAGGATACTAATTTCTCAAAAAATTAACTTTCTTAATAAAGAGACTAAATTATTACATAAGTCATTTCAAAGTCTCTTCAGTTTCTTAAAAACAAACAAACCCAAACTCCAACCCAGAGTATATAACAAGTATTAGTGATTAATACAACCATAGCACTTACCTTAAGCATAGTGGGGAAAGAATGGAGAGGAAGGTTCTTTCCTATCACCTCCTAAGGTATTACAGTAAGTAAGCTGTTAAGAATGCTGTTATACTCTAATTTTCTTAGCATTTTTTTTCCTAAACTTTTATTCTAAGACCCACAACTAAAAACCTTACTGCTTATCAGAAGTGCTGCACAGATCACAAGTATCTGCTGAGGTGAATGGGTCAAGTACATAAGATAGTCATCTAATTAAGTGATTAGTGAAAATTCCATCATTTTAGCTGCTGCTTCTTCTTTTCCCCCTTATAGTGCTGGGGACTGAATCTAGAGCCTCACAAATGCTAGCTCTATCATTGAGCTATCTTCCCAGTTCTAAATTCCCTCATTATAAAGAATATAGAATTGAGGTGGGGGAATGTATCAGAATAAGATTTAATGTGTCACCAGTAAAAATTTACTGTTTTAAATAACTCTTCAAAAATTAATAGTTTTATAAAAACATCAAACCTCATTAACTAACAGAATACTGTGTAGACTTATATTGGCAAGAGAAAATTGTTCAGGATGCCCGAGTCAAAACATACATTATTCCACTTTGAATAAATGAAGGATTGTTAGGATGGATGGAAAGAAATAAGGAAGAAAGATCCATAAGAAAGAGAAGGCAGATGTGGACCAGAAAGTTTTTTGCTTTTGTTTTCCCCTCTTAGAAGAAATTTCTGGTACACTTTTTCTCCTGCAAGTATTTACTTAAATTACCTTTATAACTAAAAAAGGTATGAAGGGGATGGAGTGTAGCTCAGAGGTAAAGTGCTCGCCTGGCATGTGTGAGGCCCTGGTGCCTTCCCCAGTGCTGCAGGAAAAAAAGAAGTCCCTGGGATAGGGGTGCAGTAGGAAAAATCTAAACTAGCAATAGCCTTTTCACTTTGGGAAAATGAAAAAAATAATCTCATCATAGAGAAAGCAAAACCAATTAGCCCTCCCTCCAATAATTTCCTCATATTATTCTAACACATCTTTATTAGAAGTCTGATCAGTTTCTTACCCTGTTATTTCATAATAATATTTCAATTGATGTATCAAAATTTAAACAAACCTTTATATAGGGCATTAAAAGATTAGTATTCTAATAAAAACAAAGGTATGTGTCAAAACAATAAGAAATTAGGTTAAAAATCATTAAACCTTATTAAGCCCCAAAAAGAAATTTTTAAAAAAATATTTATTTTTCAGCTATAGGTGGACACAACATCTCTATTTTATTTTTATGTGGTTCTGAGGATAGAACTCAGTACCCCACACATCGTAGGTGAGTGCTCTACCTCTGAGCCACAACCCCAGCACCCCTAATAAGAAATTAAAAGAAAGAGAAGATCAACATTATTAAGGCCACAGGCTGACCTTCTGTCTGGCCATCACCTTACAAATAAACTCATCTATTCAGAGATAAAGTATATAGAGAAAACCCAGGGTACTTAAATTAAAATTAAATTTCAAATGGCTGTATTTTTTGGGGTGGGGTGGGGTGGGGCCAGTACTGGGGATTGAAGGCAAGAATACTCGACCACGGAACCATATCCCCAGCCCTATTTTGTATTTTGAGACAGAGTCTTACTGAGTTGCTTAGCACTCATTTTTTAAAAAATATTTTTAATTGTAAATGGATACAATACCTTTATTTTGTTTATTTATGTTTTTTTGTGTGGCGCTGGGGATTGAACCCAGGGCCTCACACATGCTAGGCAAGCGCTCTACCACCAAGCCCAACCCCCTAGCGCTTCACTTTTGCTGAGGCTCCTTTGAACTGATCCTCCTGCCTTAGCCTCCCAAGCTTTTTTTGGTGGTGCTGGGGACGGCACCAGGGCCTCTCCAAAGCCCAGCTCATGCTCTCTGGTGAAGTGCCACCTCCACTCATGTTTGACATAATTTATAAGAAGTAAGCTTCTGAGGGCCTAGGATGAAAGCACATTATACCAGAGAATTTTTGCTTTTGCCAGTTGCCCTGGGTTATTACTAACCATATAATTTTAGCTATTCTGTCAGCTTAGAGTTTTCCCAGATTATGCAAGTCATATAAAACAAACTCCTAAACCAGGAAAAATTTTTAAAGACTCCCCCTACCCCCATTCTTCAATCCAAGCTAAGATAGAAAATGTTTCTAATTTCTGTTAATTGTAAATTTTTCTTCTGTTTTTTTTTTTTTTTTTTCAAAAACTAAAGATGCTATCTTGAGGGCCCAGCTTTAGGCAGGTCTCATTCTAACTTCTGATCTGTACAAGCCTGAGAAAACCCCATCTGCTATATTCTGAGAAGAAACATAGAAAGAAACCATAGGTGATAGGTAGAAGCTCAGAAGGCAACCAAGATCTCAGGGATAGATGATCACCTCAGCAGCTCCTTATCTGTAGGTTTTTGTTGTTGGTTTGTTTTTGTTTTTTGGTAATGGAAATTAACCCCTGAGGCTTAATCACTGAGCTATACTCCTAGCCTGTTTTTTTCTTTTAATAAGGTCTTGCTAAAATGCTGAGACTAGCCTCAAATTTACAATCCTACTGCTTTAACCTCCTGAGTTGCTGGGATTATAGACATATGCCACCATGCCCAGCTGCTCCTCCTTTCCTTTTGACTTCGGAATTTCTCTTATATATTTGCAACCTCATCTTTTTTTTTTTTTTGTGGGAATCATTGGGCACTCTATCACTGAGCCGCAATCCCAGCTCTTTTTATTTTTTATTTTGAAACAGGGTCTCAGTAAATTGCTTTGGCTGTTCTAAAATGTGCAATCCTCCTGCCTTAGTCTTCCAAGTTGACTGGATGACAGACATGGGTTACCACATCCAAACTGAAAGATATTTAAAAGCAGTATTTTATTCAGTATTTCTAAGAATTGTTAAGCTTTATGATTTAATTAGTATACGTAAATTCCTACTGCTACATGGTCATCTGTTCTCCCAAATACAAAGGTTATAAGATTTTTACAAAGTTGAAAATAACCAGGCTGGGATTGGAGCTCAGTGGTAGAGTGCTTACTAAGCCCATGTGAGGTTCCTTAGCACCACAAATAAATGACTAAAATAAAGGTATTGTGTCCATCTACAAAAAAAAAAAAGAGAAAAGAATCAACTAAAGGCTATTTCACTGATGATCTTCATTAAACGCCATACATATTTTACATCTTAAAAATGTATTTCAACATTCAGTAATTATGACTATGATACTCACCTTTACTTTGGGTTTGGGTGCAGGAATCACCTTTTTCTTTGCCCTAAAAGATTAAAACAGAGGCCTTTCAGTAGTAGTTGTATCACTCACTAGGAAAGGAACACATATGAATCTTATAATTAAGCAAATTTCTCCCAATATTTGGAAAGCTCTTTGGATGAAGTAAAAAAATATAAATACTTGGTCTATAAGAATATTCAGCAACACTTTTCCCAATTCAGATTAAACACAAGAAAATGCCAATTAGTAAAATATGAAATGTAGATGATAAAGTTAAAGAAACAAATATAAATATATAAAATATAAGTTAAAACAGTTTAACAAAGCTGCCTAGGAAACTTACTTCAAAGAACTACTAAGAATTTACAGTTATTTGTAGGAAAACAGCTTCAAGAAACTTCACACTAAAATTGGACTATGATAAGGAACTGTAAATCGCATTTTACTTAAAAAAAAAAAACATTTTTCTATAAAGTTATTTTTTTAAATGTAAACATTCAAATAAAAATGTAAAAACAACAACAAAAAAGGGCAGGATAAATACTATGGAACTTGGGAACCTTTGGAACTGCATGAAAAGTTTAAAAATTAAAATAATCTTATGGGTTCCAAAGAAGAAAGAACTCAAATGTTTTTGAATAATTAAATGAGTGACAAACTTAAATACTTCATCCCATCTGAGTGTTTTTATTTCATTATGGTAAAATGTCATCAATTAGACTAACACACATCTTGATTTAAACTGTGAATCTTTAGTTTCATAAAGGCAATGGTAATTTTCAAAGTTTTTTTGGTGAAGGCCATGAGAGCAAAACTCTTCCTTTTTACTTATCTTACAGAATCCTGCTTTCCTGTACAAAATCAAACAAAACACAAAACTAGCAATGATAATGAAGCTATTTTAACCTAGTAAAGGGAAATGGTGGGCACAGTGCTGTGTGCTTGCAGTTCTAGCTACTCAGACGACGGAGGCAGGAGAATTATTTGAGCTCAGGAGTTCCAGGACAGCCTGGAACTCAACTCAAAACAAATACAAAAACAAAAACAGAGGGAGAGAACCTACATAAACAACTTTAGAATTAAAACATGAGTCAGTTTGTATTTGTTTTTTTGTTTAGGGGTGTTCCTTTTTTTTGGTTCTTTTTAGTTACACATGACAGTAGAATCTATTTTGATATATTTATACAAGCATGGAGTATATCTTATTCTAATTGGGAGTCCAGTCTTGTGGATGTACACGACAGAGAGATTCACTGTGATGTGATTATATATGTACATAGGAAAGTTATGTCAGATTCATTCCACTGCCTTTCCTATTCCTATACCCACCCCTTCCCTTCATTCCCATTTGTCTAATCAACTTAACTTCTATCCTTTCCCTCCCCAGCCACCTTTGTGTGTGTTAAGATCCACATATTTCTTTTTGGGGGGATTTGCAAATTTCACTTAGTATGATAGTCTCCAGATCCATCAATTTACATGTTCCTTATGGTTGAATAACATTCCACTGATACGCCACAATTTCTTTATGGATTCATCTGTTAGTGGGCATCTACAATGCTTCCATAGCTTAGCTATTATGAATTGTGTTCCTAGAAACATTGATGTGGCTGTGTCACTGTAGTGTATGCTGATTTTAAATCCTTTGGATATATGCCAAGGAGTGAGATAACTGGATCAAATGGTGGTTCCATTTCTAAGTTTTTTTAAATATATATATTTTTAGTTATAGGTGGAACATTTTTTTTATTATTTTTTATATCTTTATTTTATTTTTATGTGGTGCTGAGGATTGAACCCAGTGGCTCACACATGCTAGGTAAGTGTTCTACCTCTGAGCCACAACTCCATCCTGACCACAATATTTTATTTTTATGTGGTGCTGAGGATTGAACCCAGTCCCTCATGCATGGTAGGCAAGCGTTCTACCTCTGAGCCACAATCCCAGCCCCATCTCTAAGTTTTTTGAGGAATCTCCACACTGTTTTACAGAGTGCTTGCATAAATTTGCACTCCCACCAATGTATCAGTATTCTCTTTTCTCCACATCCTCACCAACATTTATTGTCACTTGTATTCTTTTTAAGATTTTTTTTAACATTTATTTTTTTAATTATAGGTGGACACAATAACTTCATTGTATTTTATGTGGTGCTGAGGATCAAACCCAGTGCCAGGCAAGCGCTCCGCCTCTGAGCCCTAGCCCCAACCCTGTCACTTGTATTCTTGATAATTGTCATTCCGGTTGGTGTGAGCTGAAATATCACTGTAGTTTTAATTTGCATTTCTCTGATTGCTGGAGATATTGAACATTTTTTCATATACTTGTGGACTGTATTTTTTTGAGAAGTATCTGTTTAATTCCTTTGTCCATTTATTGATTGGGTTATTTGGAGTTTTTTTGGTGCTAAGCTTTTTTAGTTCTTTGTGTATCTTGGAAATTAATATCTTATTGGAGGTGTGTTTGGCAAAGATTTTCTCCCATTCTCTAGGTTCTTTTTTCATGCTCTTGATTGTTTCCTTTGCTGTGAAACAGCTTTTTAGTTTGATACCATCCCATTTATTGATTAAAAAAATTTGTTCTTATTTTAGTTATACATGACACTAGACTCTATTTTGATACATTCCATTTATTGACTTTTGACTGTACATCTTGTGCTTCAGGAGTCTTACTGAGGAAGTTGGTTCCTAAGCTGACATGATGGAATGTTCGTCCTACATTTTCTTCTAATATGTGCAGAGTTTCTGGTCTAACTCCTAGGTCTTTAATATACTTTGAATTTTGTTCAGGGTGAGAGATAGGGGTTAAATTTCATTCTACTACACATAGATTTCCAGTTTTGCAAGCACTATTTGTTGAAGGGGCTATCTTTTTTCCAATGTATGTTCTTGGTGCCTTTGTCTAGTATGAGATAGCTGTATTTATTTGGGTTTCTCTTTGTTTCTTCTATTCTAGATCATTGGTTTTCATGTCTATTTTGATGACAAAACCATGCCTGTTTTTACCAATACCAGCTCTGTAGTATAATTTAAGGTCTGGTATTGTGATGCCTCCTGTTTTTTGCTTTTCTCACTAAGGATTGCTATGGCTATTCTGAGCCTCTTATTTTTCCAAATTAATTTCATGACCACTTTTTCTACTTTTTAAAATTCTTTTTTGTAGCTGTAGATGGACAGAATTCCTTCATTTTATTTTCTTATTTTATGTGGTGCTGAAGATTGAACCTAGGGCCTCACACATGCTAGGTAAGTGTTCTGTCACTGAGCTATAGCCCCAGCCCTGCTTTTTCTATTTTTATGAAGAACATCATTGGAATTTTATTGGGAATTGCATTAAATTTGAATAATGCCTTTGGTAGTATGGCCATTTTTCCAATATTAATTCTGCCTGTCCAAGAACACAGGAGACCTTTCCATCTTCTAAGGTTTTCTTTTATTTATTTCTTTAGTGTTCTGTATTTTCATTGTAGAAGTCTTTTACCTCTTTTGTCAGATTGGTTCCCAAGTATTTTATTTTTTTTGAGGCTATTTTGAATGGGATAGTTTTCCTAACTTCTCTTTCAGCTGATTCATTATTGGTATATAAGAACACAACTGATTTATCGGTGTTAATTTTGTATCCTGCAACATTGCTGAATTTGTACCTGAATTGTAATGCACATGGTTTTAGAACTATAGAGAAACTAAAGGCCATATATATTATCGACACAAATTTATCTCTCTGTGTTTATTTACTCATAGATTTAAGTTCTTGCAACAAAGTAAACTGCAATGTATCTCAAAAAACAAAAGCAAGAGGAAAGCTGGGTGACGCATGTTTATCGATAATCCCAAATACATGGTAGGCTGAGATGGGAGGGTCACCTGAACCCAGGAGTTCAAGACCAGTCTGGGAACAAAGCTAGAACTCATATCAACATAAACACAAACAAATAACAACAACAAAACATTCCAAGAATAATAAGAACTTAAAACTACAACAACTCAATATAGATCCCTGATGGTATACAAAGTGTTCTTCCTAAAAACTTTCATCTGTTATAACAATATAAAGGAAAGAATTTTATAATGTTGTTCAAACAATGTCAATCAGACATCTTAGCAGAATATTGAATAGAGTGCTCAATAATTCTTAATAACTTGCTAATTTTAAATTTTAGTAACTCTTTAAGACTACACTTGCAGGCTACAGAAAAGTAGCCTTAATTTGTAGGTAAAAAAATTATGGAGTTGACCAATATTCACCCGAACAGCAACAATAGACAAAAAATGTGCCCTTTTATTGAATGTAAGGAGGATAAGAGATCTTTACTAATCCTTTCACTACGCTGGGGATGTAGCTCAATGGTAGGGCACTTGCCTAGCATGTGCAAGGCCCTGGGTTTGAACCTCCAGCATATGTGTGCTCATACACATCATTTCATTAAGGAAACATCCAGTTTTAAACAGAAAGAAGAACACTAAGAGTAGGTTAATTTTGTAGAATAAAACACTCTTTAGGGTAAAGCAGGGTACTTTTGTATATGGAACTGTCCTGGTAAGCTAGGGGCAGAAGGCCATAGGTTACCTATATAGATGGTTAATAAGAGGTAGAAAAAAAGAACAATAAGATGACAAGATAGAATCCCAGGAACAAACAAAGGGAAACCCTTAAGCTTGTATATTTTCAACATTTTCTATACAAGAATCCCAGGCAGTCTGTGTCACATTCTAGATTCAGGAGGTTTTGAAGAACAGCCTGAGAACTATTTTAATAGACTCTGAGGTCTAAACAGGAAACAGACCAATGATTTATTTTTAAGAAGATGGTGATAAATGGAAATTTATACGATTTAAATAAATTTAAATAAATACGATTTAAATAAATCGTATTTCAACTAGCATTTAATAAATGATACATCTCCTTACTAAAGCTACAAGAATAAAGATAAATCAAGAAATCTGGAGTCTGCATTTACTCACGGAGCAGAAGTAAGATGATTATGTACACTCCGGCTTTCCTTAAAAAGCATTCTGGAAAAATTAAAAGGATACAATTATTATTTTTTTATAGCAGATAATAACATAATTGCTTTATTTTTCTTACAAAATCATTTGACTAACAATAGGTTATCATTTGCATGTTTACCAAATAAAGATACTGGTATTAGTGTGCTCAATTATGGAGTTTTATCACCTCTACTTGTTTAATATTTTTAATAAATGGAGCAATTTGAAATGGTGGGGTAGGTAATGTAGCTTATGAAGTTTCATACTCTTAAAACTCTTTAGACTTTAAATAGGGCTATTCTTAAGTTTCTCAAGACACTTCACTATTTTCCAAGACCCTACGGTTGCCTATCTTTTCCTTTGCTCTAATCCCTGTATTTGATAGTTCCCTCCTGAAGTTTATAATAACCATTGTTCTCCCCCGTTTTCTTCCACTAGTACATTCTGGTACAAAAAAGAAACATGATAATTTAAAAAATCACCTTGATATCCATATCTTTATATGCCCACAGGACTGTTTTGGATTTTAAGGGCTTGAAATACTGAGGTTGAACACATTAAGTTCTTAGCAAAACCAATGTCAGGTGTTACTCTCTTACTTTAATAACAAAGTAAGAGAGTAAATCAGAATTCAGGAGGTCAATCTCTTACCTCGCCTGCATCCAGCCCTTAGGCCACAAGGGCTTCACCTCTGTTTCCATGAAGGATTTAAGATAATCCTCAGCAGACTGGCTTTTATTTGGCTCCAACTCATAGCATCCCAATTTGATCTCGACGAGGTTACATAATAAAGTTCTAAATAGATAAAAATATTATTACATATAAATCTTACTATGAAACAATAGAAAATTTTAAGTTTGAAACAGAATTATCTTTATTGAAAGAACTCCTTGCCAGGCATGGTGGTGCACAGGTTTAATTCCAGCAGCTCGGGAGGCTGAGGCAGGAGGATTGCAAGTTCAAAGCCAACCTCAGTAACCTAGTGAGGCCTTAAACAACTTAGTGAGACCCTGTCTCTAAGTAAAATATACAAAAATGGCTGGGGATGTGGCTCAGTGGTTAAGCACCCTTGGGTTCAATCCCTGGTACAAAAAAGAGAGAGAAAAAACTCCTTTAGGCTCACTTGACATAGGTTTGTTTGTTTTTAAACAAGTATCACTCATAAATACAAAAAATGGAAAAGAAAGCAAAATAAATTAACTGATTTGTTCAGGTATTCCTAAACCTTCTTCCTATTCACAGTCCAATGTAAGTCACTTGATGTCCACACCCTATCATTCTCTGTTCCTTCCAAGTAAGTTATGATACAGTCATTCTTGAGTTCTCCACTACTATTTCTGGAGAAAAATTCTTCCAAGGTACTAACAACAGACTTTTTTTTTTTTTTTTTTTAAAGCACACAGTTGTAACAAGAATATTATCTGAAGAATTCAGATAATAACAAGATGTTTTTAAAAATTTATCATTCATTGCTCTAGTCTAACCCCAAAATGAAACAATTTCCTTTGACAGGTACCAAAGATAGGTAGAAGAGTTGTCTCTGTGGGGTATAGAAATACTGGCAAGAAAGACGGTTGATTTATGTAAGTATATTGAGTACTTCACCTTCTGAATCCAGTGTAACTCATTCCATTCTTAGTTTATGTTATAAAAAGTATCACATAAAAATGAAAGTGGGGCTGGGGCTGTGGCTCAGAGGTAGAACGCCCGCCTACCGTGCATGAGGCACTGGGTTCGATCCTCAGCACCACATAAAAAATAAAATGAAGATATTGTGACCACCTATAGCTAAAAAAATAAATATTAAAAAAAGAAAATGAAAGTGATAACAATATAAGGAGGACTGGGGATGTGGCTCAAGCGGTAGCATGCTCGCCTGGCATGCGTGCGGCCCGGGTTCGATCCTCAGCACCACATACAAACAAAGATGTCGTGTCCGCTGAAAACTAAAAAAAATAAAATATTAAAATTCTCTCTATCTTAAAAAAAAAAAAAACAATATAAGGATATTAAGGCCAGAGTAATGGTCTCCTAAATATATTTTTTCTACATACTACCCTTTGATTGTTTTCAATCTAGTCTTTAATTTACTACATTTTTCTCATGGTGTTGGGGATTCAACTCAGGGTCTAACACATGCTAGACAAGTGCTCTACCCCCAAGTTACAGTCCCTTTCCCTATTATAGATTCCTTTTATGAGCAACCTTACTTCTCCACTGTATATTTGGTTAAGAGCAAAGACTGGCTAAATTCTACCTAATTGTGTCATCCCAGTGGAATTTCTTTCTTGGTCCTATGACACGCTTCCCTGGTTTCTCATCATCATCTTCCTCAGATCCATTCTTTTCTCGTTCTTCATCTGTTTGCAACCTAAAAATTGAAAAACCTTTTAAGAAGCAAAGTTTTAACCCTACAATATGTCCCATAAACACTTCCAGAATTGCATAATTGAACTTTTACTCAAATAACAGACTAAATAGGGAATCTACCTTTTTACATAATACTTTGAGTAAGCTATGAAGTGCTTGGCAAATGAAAGTATCCAAACTATAATATAAAGGCATACTTATCTTTTAGGTCAGAAAATATTTGTGTCCAGCACCAGCTAGTCGAATTAGTCAGTATATGAAATGTCTGAACAGTTTTAGCTCTTGATTTATTTAAAATATTTTTTTAATTGTAGCTGGACACAATATCTTTATTTTATTTATTTTCATGTGATGCTGAGGATTGAACCCAGGGCCTTGCACATGCTAGGCAAGCACTTATGCTGAGCCATAACCCCAGCCCTTAGCTCTTGATTTGATCACATCCATAAAGTAAATCAACAAAGTCTTTTGCCTTTGACACTAAAGCAGTTGAGGTAGCAACATATCATTTAGAAAATATTCAGTTTATCATTCAGTGGTGTATGTGGATTTGTACTTGATGATGAAGTCCTGTCAAGACCAACCCCTAACAGCTAAAAGTGTTTCTCAAATGGTAAAGACTGTCGAAACAGAAGGGGTACATACTTGGCACACTTAGCTTGACTACGAGCCTGGCAATCCTCCTGGTATTTAAATAGCTGTTCAGGCATAACATTGCTAACAGCCAGTTTCAGTTTTTGCAGAGGTTCTCTTAAACGATCATCCTGAGAAAAAAACATACTGAAAGTTTTTCAAATATCTTAACAAAATTTATTCAATGAACAGATTCTCAAAAGGTGAAATTTATGTTTCAAGTATTGATTACAGATTTGAAATGTTAGCATATCTAAATATGGACATTTCTTCAATAGCACTTGCTTTCATTAATTAACACTGGATATAAAATTAGAATGATAAAATTTCCCAGTTTGCCAAGGAGAGTCCCAGCTTTTACTTGTTGCCCTTGCAAAACTATTAGTAGTATTTCTTTACATTCTTAAAAAGCCCCATGTTGTTGGGTGTGGTGGTACAACACCTATAATCCCAGTGATTCGGGAGGCTAAGGCAGAGGATTATGAGGTTCAAAACCAGCCTCAGCAACTCAGTGATGCCCTAAGCAACTCAGCAAGACCCTGTCTCTAAATGAAATACAAAATGTCCCTGGGTTCAATCCCCGGTACAAAAACAAAACAAAACAAAAAAATGTTTTAAATTATATATACTTTATAATACAAATGATGAAATCTACATTGTACAGATTACTAGACAGTCCCCATTACAATAGGAAAGCACTCCCAAAAGAAGACAGTTCTCTGGAATACTGGAATATATGATCCGCATGATCTTTTTTTTTTTTTTTTAGTTGTAGATAGACAAAATATATTTATTTATTTTTATGTGGTGCTAAGGATTGAACCCAGTGCCTCACACGTGCGAGGCAGGTGTTCTACCACTGAGTTATAGCCCCAGCCCTATCTGCATGATCTTGTTTGAGTAGTTACCAACAGGATGTTGGCATCCTGTTCTCTTGGATATTGTTAGTAATTGTGTCTTATGCTGTAAGCAGAAATGCAAGCTCAAGGCCAAAATGAAAGAGGAAACTAGGAGACTCTTATCCATATGTGTTCTGGGTAAAAAGGAAAACAAGTAGGTTTTTAATCTAATAGCTCTAATCAACCAACTTATTATTTTCAATCTTGCAAAATAACATAGGTAACTATTTAAAACATATTTTTATCACTATCATAGGTGCAGAAATATTTTAAGACTTAGTTTTCCTTCAGTAAAACAATAGAATTTTTTGGTTTTTTTAAAAATCTTTTTGCAGTGCTGGGGGATTGAACCCAGGGCTTAATACATGCTAGGCAACTACTCTACTGTGAGCTACATCCACAGCACTAAAACAACTGTTTATAAAAGGTGCTTTTTGGTAGAGATGACTTTTTAGAATACAAATTTATTACTAATAATCATTTTAACTTATCCCATATATATCAATTAATAAATACGAAGCACATGACTATCTGCTATAACAACCCATTTTGTTATAATATCCCATTTTTAAATGTCAACATTCAGTATCATGGTTCCTGGATGATTATTTTTGAAGAATTATGTAGCTGAGACCATTTACCTGGAATTAACTGGGATATATTCATACAATAGAACACTATATACAGTGTTCTAATTGCATGCAGTAAAAAATGAATAGATTTCCATTGTATATACACATACATAAATCTGAAGCACATAATGTTGAGTGTTAAACAGTGAGCTGCAGAAGAAAACAGATAGTACACCTTATATGAAGCTCAAAAAATAAAAAACTGAACAATATAATGTTCAGGGATACAAACCATGTGACAGAAAACTTGTTTTCCTAATTCTAATTCCCATTCCCCCCCCGCCCCCCCCGTCGCTCCCTCTGGTACCCATTTCTGCCATTTCAATTATGACAGCAAGCTCCCTCCAACTGCTGATGTTTGAAAAAGCCAGGTAAAGGCACAAAATCTGAGATATTATAATTAAATTCATTCATTAATTTGCTTTGAATTGAGAAAGAATTTATGTCTCTCAATTTACATGTATAAAGAATCCTATGCTTATCAGATCTTGCTTTCTATACACTGACCAGCCTTAGGAAACATTCTCAGAGAGACCTATCAATTATTAAAGAAGTAACTATTCATCAGGGAATCCAAATACCTTCAATATCTTGCAATGATTATTAAATATGTTCAATCTGATATAAAGCAATTAATGTATAAAGACCCTAATTAGAAATATTTCTCATTTTGTAGGTTATAAAACCTCAAAGGCAGATATTATTATTGTTCCTCTTACCTGGACATTGAGGTGTAACTTCTTTAGCCGTTTTACCAGTGTTTCTTTATTGCATGGCACAAATGCTTCAAGATGGGAGTAGACACCACTACGAATAACAGGGCCTAATTCTTGTAGCTGCAACTCAATGCTGATCATAAAAACAACAAACAATATGGAATTTTTTTAGGTGGCAAAGACTGATTGTTGTTCTCAATTTATACTCCCATGATTTCCCAGACAATATTTTTCATAGAATTTACCTCCCTTCCAATGAACAGTAAAACTACAGAAAACAGTCTGTGAGTCTAACTTCAGAGTAAAGTTTATATGACCACAACAAGCTGGCAACATTTTTTTTAAATGTTTTATAGTTGTAGATGGGCAGAATGCCTTTATTTTACTTATTTTTATGTGGTGTTAAGGATTAAACAGAGTGCCTCACACATGTTAGGCAAGTGCTCTGCCATTGAGCTACAGCCCCAGCCCTGGCAATACTTTTTTGATGACAGGCATCAAGTATTTTTGGGTTAACCATAATATCTTCAAAGAGATATTATGCCAGCCCTCCAGATTATGCCAGATTACTCTGGTAATCACTATAGCAGCCAGTGACACAGTTTCATTTAATTCCTAGAATATTTTTTTCTTTAAGGAAGTTGAAAAAAGTAGAGATTCAGAAAAAAATACCCTACCCCCAGCTATAGACATGAAATACTTTATCTGTCTTTGTTTTCTGTCTTTGTTTCCCTTTGTGGTATTATAAGATACATATTTAATAGTTTGTTCAACTTATTATAATTTTCCAGTTTCTACTTCTACTTAATACATTAGCTAAGAGAGTAGAAGAGGAGAACGAGAAGGAGGAGGAAGAAAAGGAGGAGGAGAAGGATGAGGAGGAGGTAGAGGAGCATCAGCAGCAGAAGAAGAAGCAGGAGGACGAGGATGTGGACGAGGAGGAAGTTTGCTGCAATAGTTCTATTCTGGGCAGGACAAACCTACCAATAGCAGAGGTCTCTTTCAAGATGGAAGACATTATTACCTAGCAACTATCACTGAATAAAGATAAGAACAGATAAATTTGAAGACCATGATCAAATTTGAGATCTTGGGGATAGGGCTATGGCTCACTGGTAGAGCGCTCACCTAGCAGGCATGAGACACTGGATTTAATCCTCAGTACCACATAAAAATGAACTATACTGTGTCCACCTACAACTAAAAAATAAATATATATATTTTTTAAATTGGGGCTCTTGGCAAAAACTATGTCCAAATCATTACATTCTATTACAAGAGAAGATAAAGACAGACTTTGAAGAACTTTTCACAAATGTAAGATGTATCCAAGGATTAAATTAATAGTTTTTTGGGAAGAAAAGAAACCATATCATATAAAGTATATCCATAGACAAATTGCAATTTCATTTAAAATGAGATGTGAAAAATTATACTCCTTGGAATTGGTAGTAGAAAATTCTTGGTATTGGAAAAGCTAAATAGAAAATTAAAAATGGAAGAAGTTTAAGACCTACAAGAACCAGGGGGTCAAATTAAAGGTTCACATGGTAAACAACCACTATGATCATGAGTTCTATCTATAGACATTTGTTAGATAGCATTATGTGGTCAGATAACATGTGTTTAGATAACATCATGAGATTATGTCCTCACTAAAAGTCTAGACTCTGGATAGAAGGCCTTCTACGATTGTCCTGTTAATGAAAGTTCTTTGAAGCTGAAAAATAAAATAAAAACTCCAAGTACTAAGAGATCCCAGGTAAGGGACCTCTGTATAAAAGTCAGTGGTTTCCAAAGAGGTTAACTAAGATACAAGAAGTGACTCCCAAGAGAAACCCTTTATACTGAGATTCTAGTCACTACTCATCGATGTCTCCTTAAAGGAATATCTAACAAAGAGATGGCAGATAGATTTCATTTTAAGTGTACAAAAGGACTGATGGTATAAACCTAGAGCAATTTGTTTTTTTTTTTTTTTAAATATTTATTTATTTAGTTTTCGGCAGGCACAACATCTTTGTTTGTATGTGGTGCTGAGGATCGAACCCGGGCTGCACGCATGCCAGGCGAGCGCGCTACCGCTTGAGCCACATCCCCAGCCCCTAGAGCAATTTGTTAAACAGAATGTTTAGGGTGAATGAGGATCACAGGCAAAGAGTATCATGATTTATCAGCAACTTCTGCTTCAGGTAATAGAGAAGAAAATCAAGTCAGCATGTTGTGTATTTGTAGATTCAGGTCAAATTCAATTATGCAAAAGGAAAAGGGTTCCCCATTCTAACTAACTGATCTCTTTTTCTCCCAGGCATAAGTAAGCAATGGTGAAGCAGAGCCAATATACCTGGACAATTTCATGGGGATTACTACCCTCAAAATCACTGTATGCCTCTCTTAAAGAGCAACTCAGGCTGGGCACAGTGGCATGCATCTGTAATCCCAGCAACTCAGGAGGCTGAGGCATGAGGAACACAAGTTCAAGACTAGCTTCAGAATGCATTAAGTAATAAATTCATAAAAATTAAAAAAAAAAGACTAGCTTCAGCAACTTAGTGAGGCCCTAAGTAACTTAATGAGAACTTATCTCAAAATAAAAAAATAAAAGGGGCTGGGAATTTAACTTGGTGGTAAAGCACCCCTGGGTTCAATCCCTAGTACCACCCCCCAAAAAAAAAAGAGAGAGAGAGAGAGAGCGCGCTCAACTCAGTCCACAGAAGTAAGGCATGTTTGTTTAGGAAAGTGCAAAGAGAGGCCAGAGAGAATAACAGAATAATGTAACTAAAGGGAAATTCAACTCTGAACCTAAGGGCTTAAGGAAATGGAAGCACACCTTCTGTGGAAAAAAAAGTAGGTGGCTCCCCAAAACTCCAAGATTTGTTTCCTGATAGACATGGGAGGACTGAAAATAGAAGCCTAACATTGGAATGTCAACAGTCTGCTTATTTGAGATGTCATGTCCCAAGGATAGTCTCTTGATTCTCTCAGGGGAGAAACACTTGTTCTGTCTCACAGAAGAGTAAAACAAAAAGAACAGTCTCAGTCACAAGAGCTAATCTACTACACTTAGGGCTTTCAGGTGGAAAGAAAAAGAAGAGCTAGTCAGACCCCTGATTATGGAATCTGGGACAGCTCTGATGACTAACAGCAGCACTGTTTATCTGGTGTTTGAAAGGGAGGTAGGTAAAAGGTAGAGACTCAGAAAGAAAGCATTTGCCGGTCTCCAGGCAAACATATCAACCTAGCTAAAATAAAGGACAGAAAAAAGAAACTCCTCTGCCAAATACTAGCAGCACACCAGGTTACATATTTTCTGAGTTCATTTTTAAACAATACAGGATAAAGATATTGCAATTTTTAATTACAAATAGTAATTAGAACTAATCAGTCAATTGATCCTTCTTTAGATCTCACAAGAAACTGTCTACATCATGTATTTATTTAAAAGACAGATTCATAGTATTTCATGTTGTTGTCCTGAATCTTTCCATATGATGCTATAAACCATCAGAGTAAGCATACGTTATCATTACCATTATGATCATCATCATCATTATCACCGAAGTACTCAGGAATGAACCCAGGGGCACTCTACCACCAAGCTACATTCCCAGTCCTTTTTATTTCTTAATTTAAGATAAGCTTGCTAAGTTACAGAGGTTGGCCTGGAACTTGTGATTCTCCGGCCTTAGCTGCCAGAGTGACAGGGATTACAGGTGTGCACTACTATAACGTCATGTTATTTTCATCCGAGGAGCTAGATTTGCTGCTTTCATCAGATCATTTTGCGCCTACTTCTGCCTGAAGTCAATTATACACTTCATTCTTGTTATCAATGGTTAAAATGTGAGCCAACAGTTTAAAAGCATAGCTTATTTGACCACAATCTCAGAACCTACAGGTTCATAACTATCAAATAATTTTACACTGTAAAATTAGCTAAGTATAAAACCTGATCTAAACATAATCTACGATAGGCATGGTGGCACACACCTATAATATATGCTACTCTGGAGGCTGAGGCAGGAGGATCACAAGTTCCAGGCCAACTTCAGTAACCTGCCCAGACCCTTTCTCAAAATAAAAAATATAAAAGGTAGCTCAGTGGTAGAGTGCCCTAGTTTCAATCTCCAGTACTGCAATCAGTATCAATAATTTATATATCAGCCTTTACCTTCCCCTTTCCAATCTGTCACTTTCATGTTACTTCCATCCTATCCTACAACCAGGATTTCTTTATTGACCCACACTTTGCATTTGGCTATAAAATTCTGCATGAATTCTAATTAATTGCAATAGATATCAATGGAATTGTTTTTCTCAAGTCTGAGTAATGAAAATAGGTGGAAAATTAAGCCAATTTGTATAAACACTCTAAGCTATCTCAGAAATAATATTTTCACATAAACTGGCATAAAATACTTTTAAAAGTCCAGGTTAATATTCATCCTGGACAATGGTAACTTGCAGATGAATAATTTTGCTAAGAGACAAATGATAACTGAACATGTTCCAAGACTAAAAGGGAAGGGTTAATGTCTTAGATCAGCCATCATTCAGCATCTGTATCTCACAGACCTAGTGTGTGTGTGTGTGTGTGTGTTGTATATGTGTGTGTGTGGGGGGATGGGTGGGAGGTGTATCTGTCTCAAAATTTTTTAAAATGTAAATATATTTTTAATTGATATTGGGATTGAACCTAGGAGTGCTTAACTACTGAGCAACATCCCAGTCCTTTTTATTTTTTATTTCGAGACAGATTCTTGCTAAGTTGCTCAGGCTGGCTTCAAACTTATGATCCTCCTGCCTCAGCCTCCCTCCAGCTGTATGCTTATTTATTTTAAGTATTTTTTTTTTAGTTGTAGATGGAAACAATATCTTTATTCATTTATTTATATATGGTTTTATGTGGTGCTGAGATTCAAACTCAGTGCCCCACGCATGCAAGGCAAGTGATCTACCACTGAGCTACAACCCCAGTCCCTCCAGCTATATTTTGAAATGAATAATTCTAAAGATTTTTTAGTACTAAAAAGAGAAATACTTACTCTAAAAGAATATTATTCATATCCTGTGTAAAGAATTTTTTCCTTCCTTCTTCATCAAAAAGTTTGGCAGCCTAGAGAAACATAAGAAAGACTGTCAATATAACTCATAGTATACAAGAACTCTGAGATGAACTACCTAATGGGGAGGAAAAAAAAAAAGAAAACAAAAGAAAAAGGAACTTCTTAACAGCAGAGTACACAATACCAATAAGTTGTGATCCACAATCAGGTATTGAGAGATCCCAATTCAATTGGATATGTGTATGATTAATAAGTTTGCTACAGCTACTGTAACAAATTACCACAAATTAGGTGACTAAATAGAAATAAACAGTCCAAAGCCCAAAGTCATGTCATTGGGCTGAAATTGAGGGGTGAGCAGGGCTGTGCAGCTCCAAGCCTCTGGAGTGTAGCCCTACTTTCACCTGAATTTCAGTCCCCTGATTTTAGACTTGGGATTGAGAATAATTCTTGGGGCTGGGGATGTAGCTCAAGGAGTAGCGCGTTCGTCTGGCATGCGTGTGGCCCGGGTTCGAGCCACATGCAAGGCAAGTGAGCTACCTACATACAAAGATGTTTTGTCTGCTGAAAACTAGAAAATAAACATTAAAAAATTCTCTCTCTCTTAAAAAAAAAAAAAGAGAGAATAATTCTTTTTTTTTTTTTTTGCACTGAGGATTGAACCCATGGGTGCTTTTGAGACAAGGTCTTGCTAATTTGCTGAAGCTGGCCTCAAACCTTCAATCTTGTCTCAGTCTTTTGAATCACTGGGATGACAGGTGTGTGTCACTGTGCCCAGTTAAATTTCTGGGGTTTTCCTGTGGTGCTGGGGATTGAACCCAGAGCCTTGGCATGCAAGGCAAGCACTCTACCAACTGAACTATATCCCTAGCCCAAACCTCTGTTGTTTTAAGTCACCAATTTATGGAGGACAGCTTGCTCCTCATGGTTGCCAGCATTCCTTGGTTGCAGCTACGGCACTCCAATCTTCAAGGACCATGTCTCCAATCTCTGTGCTCGGCCCTTAACATGGACTTCTCTAGATACATCACATTTCCTCCTGCTTCCCTCTTCTAGACTGCATGTGATTGCATTTAGGGCCCACAGGATAATCTCCCCATCTCTAGACATTTAACTTCATACCTCTATCTCCTTTTTACCATAAATGGCTCAAGGGATCAGAATATGGATATATTTGGGGAATCATTTTTCAGACTACTACAGATAAAATTCATGTGATTGTTAAGAATATTAAACAATGAAAGATCAATTTCCTTAAGACAAAAGGTCTTTAGAATCAAAGAAAGATATTTAGAAATATTATAGATTATTTCAAAGAAATATCAAGTCTAATCATATGATCAACTCAACAAGAAGCTGCAGACTTTTATGAGTAGACAAACTCACTGAATTCAAGAGACTCTATGTGATTATGCTTTTAAGTTACAGAGTCAATGACAAACTATTATAAATAGAATACATGAAATTCTATCAAGATTTCTCATTAGAATACAATCAATGATCCAGATCAAATGTGTGGTTAGGAGCAATAGGTATAAAAAAAATTAACCTTATATGGTCAATAAAAGCATTAGTAGAGTTGGAATCTCTAAGACAAAGTTAAAAGCTAAACATGTAGTGAATAAATACAGTAATATGGAACTGATAGTGATTGTTGGGAAAAAATTTAAAATTTTTTTTTAAAAACCCATTCAAACGATGGTTTGACAAAGGGACATTCAATATTCAAAAAAAAAAAGCAATGTAATAATAAACCAGCAATGCCTATTTTTAGATTCAATGACCATCAGAGGCATAAAAGAGTATCCCAATGCCTCGGGAGGCTAAGCCAGGAGGACTTCATTCAAGGCTAGCCTCAGCAACTTAGCAAGATCCTATCACAAAAAAGAAAAAGGGCTGAAGATTAGCTCAGTGGCAAAGTGTTCCTGGTTTCAATCCCCATACTAAATAAATAAATAAATAAACAAACAAATAAACATTCTCTTCATGATGTACTTTAAAAAACCTAAAGTTAATAGACTTAATTCCTTTGAATAAAAATAGGTATGAGAAATTTTGATAAAAAGTTAAACTTTATGAATTTCTGATGAAATTTAAACTTTATAACCTTAAAAACATTAATATAATCTAGTTTTAGAAAATTAGATAGTCACCTGGTAGTTGAAATGTGTAAAAACTGTCATGAATCAATACTTACTGGCCTCTGGGCCTGGCTCTGGCACTAGTGTTTATTAAAGTGATTTCAAAACCTACTGATGCTTTAAACTGTGGGTTTAGACATATTTGTTTCTATTTCTATTTATTAAAGAATAAACTTTTTGAGGGTGCGGCTAGTTATTTAACTTTGTATCCTCGCACTCTATTATATACTTTATAATTATTACCATGTTTAATCCTCATAACAGCCAAGGAATTTGGTATTATAACCCCCATCTTACACACAAAGACCTTAAACTTTAAAAGAGGTTTCATGAAATGGCCAAGTTACTAAGTTGTGGGTCAAAGATTCGAACTGAAGCCTTCTGATGTCAACTGTGAACACTGCCACCTAGCACACAAAGACATTGGTTTGGAAAAGCCAGTCTGGGTTTTACTTAATTAACAACAATGAAAAAACTAGTCAAGATTATTATTATTATTATTTTTTTTTTAAATTGTCTCTAATTTATTTTCTAGTTTTTGGCGGACACAATGTCTTTGTATGTGGTGCTGAGGATCGAACCCGGGCCGCACGCATGCCAGGCGAGCGCGCTACCGCTTAAGCCACATCCCCAGCCCCTAGTCAAGATTATTATCAAGGTATAAGCTCTTGCGTTTCATCAATGCTTCCCATTTTAACCAGATGACCCGACAAAATGTTTTTTAAATCTGGACACTGTCATAATCATTTGTGGCAAAATTTCCTGAGGAAATTAGACATAGGCCATCTTAAAATCCAAAAGATATAAAACATTAAAAGAGAACAATTCAATAACTTGATCAAACCATATGGTGACTGTCAATCTACCAAATTATTTGAAAATTTTACGTGCTATAAGTAGAAGAGATAGATAAGTTTTGGAGACATGCTTCTTAAGACAGGATGAAGACTAGATGTATATAGAGACAAAAATATAGAAAGAAAGTCAGAATAAAAGCCAAATTTCAAGAAAGGAAATCAAAGTCAAGAGGTTGAACTTGGAAGAATATTACAAAGGGAGAACAGAATAAGAACAAACTGCTTATCAGACAGAGGCATGTGAGCTGAAGATGAATTTTCATCTCTTGAAGAAAAGTACCATTTCATGTTTAAAAAAAACAGAGAATTCACAGGTATCAGTAAGTAAAATGAATCTTATTTATTGATAATTTCCTAATGAGGGCTTAGGAAGAAGCCATGTTAACCTTCAAATGGCTATTACAAGACAGATATTTTTTCTTAAGATATGACAGAGCCTTACAAAGTTGGACACACTCATCACTAACTAATTAGTTTATGAAGTGAGTAAGTAGCGCATAACCCAGTAGGCAACATGTAAGCGCGAAGTGTAATGGTCCTGATTTTAAAACCTAATTTTGAATTTTGGCTTGGCCACTTAAAAATTGTGTCCTTGGACAAATTACTTAACCATCTTAAACCTTAGTTTCCTCATCTATTAAATGGAAAAACATTGCATTTGCTCACATGTTTCTTGGGAGGACTGTATTCAGCAATAAGTAAAATAAGGCAATAGGGGCACAGCAGTACCATACTCAGTACATAGCATCGAATTTACTAAATAAACAGTAGCTATTATTTATTTATTTTTGCAATACTGGGGACTGAACTGAGGGACACTGAGCTACATTCTCTGCCCTTTTATTTTTTTATGTTGAGACAGGGTCTCATTAAATTGCCCAGGCTGGCCTAGAACTTACAATTCTCCTGCCTTAGCCTCACAAGTTCCTGGGTTATAAGCAAGTGCCATCACGCACAGTTCAGAAGCTATTATTAATAATTACATCCTGAAAAACCTATATCACATCACTAGCACTTTTAAAAACCTAGAACAAAAATGAAGAATTCAGGAATGGGGAAATAGGGGGAAAAGAAATCATGTACTTTGGAGTCAGGCAAATCCCAGTGCTTAAAAACTCTGGCTCTAACACTTACAAATTCTATTACTTTGACCACATTTTTTGATCTATCGCCACTTACATTTCTTAAAAGGGAAATAGACACTACATACTACACTTCATAGAAACACTGAAAAGATTAAAAGCAACCAATGAGAAAAGCTATACCATGCAAAAATAAACAGAGGTCTACAGTAAAATCATTCAAAATTAAATTGAAGGTAAAAAGCATTAATTGGACCAAAAGGGTAGCCTTCTGATGATAATCACTGCACTAAAGATGCAGCCATCATAATCTTACGAATGAAACAGCAAAAGCGATAGAAAACTCAAGTTACAACTAAAAGAAATATTGGCAATGAGATATTTTAACATATTTCCTCTGAATCCTGGACTCATGATGGGGTATAAAATAAGTAAAAAATAGAGAGGAAGCAATTAGTAAGTAATTACCTTAGAAGAAACAATATAGAAAAATAATAGAATTGATTAATAAAATCCAAGATCCAGTTGTAGGAAAAATTAGGTAAATCTCTTGCTTCCCTCAGATATTTCTTGAGTTGTAAATATATATTTAGAAAGAGAGAAATAAATGGAGAAATGGAGAATGGAGAAATCCTAGCAGGAAAAAGAAGGGTATAAAATAGTTTAAATATTACAATCCCATTAATGATAATTTTTAGCAATAACATATTTGAGGATGTATAGATTAAAATACAGAAAAATAGCTGTTTTATAATGATTATTTCTGCTCAGGGTAGGAAACGTAAGATAATGGGGATCTTAAGAATGTAATAAATAAAATTCTTCAATGACTAAACTATGGCATAGGTTCAACAAATAAACATGTCAAAATAATCAGAAAGCATTTTAAGCTAGATTTGGCACATTTTTAATATAAAAAATATTATCTCTCTTTGTAAGATATAACTGGATTTGCAGCTAATTAAACCAATGAAGATTATGAATCCAAGCTGATGTGGAGAGGAATCTATGACGACAGGCCAGTCTCAGCTCTTAGCTTTTTCTTTGGTACCAGGGAATGAACCCAGGGATCCTTAACCACTGAACCACATTCCCAGGCCTTTTTATTTTTTTCTTGAGGCTAAGTTGTTAAGTCTGGCTTTGAACTTGCGATCCTCCTGTCTCAGCCTTCCAAGCTGCTAGGATTATAGGCAGGTGCCAAAGTACCTGGCTAAGCTCTTAGCTTGGTCTTACTGGGAACACAAGGCATGTATACTACTGATTAGCTGGGAAAATAGGTTATAAAAACTGGATGTCAATAGACCAAAGAAAGAAGTTCAGGTACATCTGTGTCATAGACCAAAGAAAGAAGTTCAGGTACATTTCTGCAGTGTTTTTATTTTTTTCTTTCTTTGGTCTATTTTTTTGGAGGAAGGAGGGGGTGTTGAGGATTTAACCTAGGGGCAATTTACCACTGATGTACATCCTCCACCCTTTTACTTTTTGAGATAGGATCTCACTAAGTTGGTCAAGACCTCACTAAATTGTTGAGGCTGGCCTTGAACTTGTGATCCTCCTGTCTCAGCCTCCAGAGCTGCTGTGATTACAGGTGTGTGCCACTACACCTGGATGCCCTATTTTCTTTACATGACTAGGTAGATCATAAAAAAATCATAAAATCTAGATGAAAAAATATTTATAAGGCGGCTAGGCATGATGGCGCACGCCTGTAATCCTAGCAACTAGGGAGGCTAAGGCAGAAGGACTGTGAGTTCAAAGTCAGCCTCAATAAAAGTGAGGTACTAAGCAACTCAGTGAGACCCTGACTCTAAATAAATTAAAAAATAGGGCTGGGGATGTGGGCTCAGTGGTCAAGTGACCCTAAGTTCAATCTCCAGTACCCCCAGGCAAAAGTTGGTAAGGTGAACTGAAATAATAAAAGAATCACCTATACCCATGTTGTAATTATAATTATTTCAATTTAAGAGAAAAAGCCTATGTGGAGAACCAATGTCTAAAAGGGATTATGGAAAATTAAAAGTTGTTGCTAGGGCTGGGGTTGTAGCTCAATGGTAGAGTGCTCGCCTAGCATGTAGAAGGCTTTGGATTAGATCCTCAGCACCACTTAAAAATAAAATAAAGGGGGCTGGGGATGTGGCTCAAGAGGTAGCACGCTCGCCTGGCGTGTGTGCGGCCTGGGTTCGATCCTCAGCACCACATACAAATAAACATGTTGTGTCCGCCAAAAACTAAAAAATAAATATTAAAAATTCTCTCTCTCTCAAAAAATAAAATAAAGGTATTATGTCCATCTACAACTAAAAAAATATTAAAAAGTTGTTGTACAAGAGCATTGGGATTACAGGGAATAATTTTTGTCTTTAAAAATGAAGCTTTTATTACTATGTTTGTGCAGCAAATAAAAACCAAGAGAATTATTACACTTACTACACGGAGGTCCTCGATGCGTTTTTCAAGAAGTACAGGTAGACCTTCTGGGAGTGTAGGTACCACCTTAGGCATAACCTGAGAGGTGAAGGTTGGCTGGGTGGTGTTTCCATTTTCTCCCCCTGATTCAGATAGGGGGCTACCATCAGAAGCAGCATCCAGTAATCTGTCAAAGTCGAAATCATCCAGTATCTCTAGGGCATTTTCAGCTTCCTGAAACAATTCGTGTTCATTTGTGCTAACAAAAATGGGGAGCTCTGGATCAGTGCTGTTCAGATTTAATTCTGGGACGTCATTCCCCAATGCTGTAGCAGCACAAAGAGGCTTGGTAAGAGAGGAGGTCGATAAGGTCACAGGAACTTTGGGGTTAGACTCTGTTTTTAATGCATCCTTCTCTTTCTGAAATTTTCGAATCATGGCAGCTAGAGAAAGAGAATCTTTATATCGTTTCTTCTTTTTTTCAGACTTGTGTGAATTTAGAGCCACAACTCTGTGAAGAAAAAAGCGATCAGTGAGGCTACATATAACTTTAACTATCTTCTGATCATCTTTCATTTTCCACTCTAGGAATAGCCATGTTGGCAACCAGATATGGATATGTGTAATTCTCAATGATAACCTCCTTACATGAACCATAGGGAAAGGTCTCAATTTAGCTATCGATTCCTCTAGAAATCTTTTCCAAATCCCATGGCTTAGATGTTTCTACATGTGCTACAAAATCTAAAAGATTATTAGTACTTGAAGGGAGGTCAATCAAACCTACAACAGTCCTAGTGTAGAAGAAAAAATATTTACTTAATAAATTTATAATTTGAAAAAAATTCAATAAAAGGTATTACTTATAGCTTATGTTTCACAAGAGGTTTACTTGTAAATAATGAATATTTAAGATAACCATTAGTGGGCTAGGGTTGTAGCTCAGAGGTACACCTAGCACATGTGAGGCACTGAGTTTGATCCTCAGAACCACATAAAAATAAATAAAATAAAGATATTGTGTCCACCTAAAACTTTAAAAAAAAAAGTTAAAAAGAAACCTTTAAAGATAATCATTATTAACGCACACAATTTTTCTCCCCCTAATCTCTTAATGACTCTAGGTCATGATTACAACAGTAATCCCATGTTTAGGAGAGGAGAAATACCTCCCTAAATCAACCTTTTGGATACAGACAGCCTCAGATGCAGATGTTCCTCCCTGCTAAGGAGGGACAGAAAACCCAGATTTTCATAAGTTTTTCCCTTAGATCTGTGAAAAATGCTACTGAGAAGTAGAGACAATGCCAATTTTTAATTATATCATACAAATATTTTATTCTTCAGATGTAAGATTTATTTTCGGTATTAAGGATTGAACCCAGGGTGTTCTAATACTGAGCTACATTCCCAGATCCTCAGCCCTTTTTATTTTTTAATTTTGAAACAGGGACTAAATTGCCCTGGTTGCCCTCAAAATTTCAACCTTCCTGCCTCAGCCTCAGGAGTTGCTAAGATTATAGGTATGTGCCACCAGCCCAGCTGACTTAAGGCTTCTGAAAAATTCTATTTGTTTTTTAGCAGCAATATGTCACCTAAAGTCATAAGCATTAAGAATAGCTAAATAGGGCTGGGGATGTAGCTCGGTGTTAGATTTCTTGGTTAGCATGTGTGAGGCTCTGGGTTCGATCGCTAGTACTGTCAAGGGTGTGGTGGATGGAATCAATGACATTTTTTTCCCCCTTTTCCTCCTCTTCTTTTTTTTGTGGTGCTGGGGATTAAACCCAGAGCCTCCCACATGCTAGGCAAGTGATCTACCACTAAGTTATATCCACAGGCCGTGATTTTTTTTTTTTAATATTAAAACAACTATAAATTGTTCATATATAGGCTACTGCTAATCCTTAATCCCAGACATCAAAATTAGTGTTAGTACCAAAAGATTAAAAAAAGTGGGCTGGGAAAATAGTTCAGTTGGTAGACTGCTTGCCTCACATGGGCAAGTCCCTGGGTTCAATCCCCAGTACCAAAAAAAAAAAAAAAAAGTTATTTGAGGGCTGGGGTTGTGGCTCAGTGGTAGAGTGCTTGCCTAGAATGTGTGAGGCACTGGGTTTGCTTCTCAGCACTACATTAAATAAACAAATAAACAAATAAATAAATAAAATAAAAGTATTGTGTCCATCTACAACTAAAAAATTTTAAAAGAAAGTAACTGGATCTTTATGCCATCTTTTAAAACTAGCTCTTGCTGGTTAAACAAACAAACAAAAACTGTAATGAGCAACATGCTCAATGTACTACTCTAAAAATCTGACCTTAAACATCATGAGTCTCATAGATGACAATGCCTTCCAGTTATTAATGTATAACAAAATATTATTAAAACATAACTAGATTACTACTATTTGTAAATATTAAATTAGACTTAGCTACTCTTAATTAGTGGTGAACCTTAATTAATTTATTTATTCTAAAAGGAGAAACAGACTATGACAGTAGTTCTCTTATTGGGTTCCACTTACCCCAGTTGTTTAGGTACTTTTTTCCTTGGTTTCTTCTCCTTTTCCCCTTCCTCTTTTCGTTTCCGCTTCTTCATTTCGATATCATCTTCTTTTATTTTGGGAACCTGCAAAAATGATAAAATAACACACCATTTATTTATTTATTTTTAAATTTATTTTAAGAATGCATCATTTATTTAAATATCAATGCTCTCTTTTTTTGATGTTAGCAGTGGTTTTTCTCAAGTGTCAAAATGTAACAGCATTACTTGCTTCAAGTGCACGTTCTTGAGGTCCATAAGCGCTTTCAGTTCTCTAGAATAGAGCCTTCAAATATGAATTTTTGACATGCATTTTGGTGATTCTGTTACAAGTAAGTCTTTGGCCCTCATGTCAGCAAACATTTACCTATGTACATTATTCATTTCCCAAATGCAGTATATCCAATTCTACAGAATTTGTTAATTAGATCTCAAGAAAGGTAACAGTTATCAACAGTCATTTCTTTTTTTTTAGTTTTAGGTGGACAAAATATCTTTATTTTATTTTTATGTGGTGCTGAGGATCGAACCCAGTGCCTCACACATGCCAGGTGAGCGCGCTACCACTTGAGCCACATCCCGAGCCCTACCAACAGTCATTTCTATAGCAAGTCGTCTTCCTTTTTTTTTTTTTTTTTAAGTCATTGATGGACCTTTATTTATTTATATGTGGTGCTGAGAATTGAACTCAGTGCCTCACACATGCTAAGCAAGCGCTTTGCCACTGAGCCACAACCCCCCAGCCCAGCAAGTCTTAACCTATCCTAGAAATTTAACTTTATCCCCAAAACAGCAGACAATTAAACCACATCATAGAGAGTAAAAGAAAACAATTCTGTGATGTAAACACCAATTTTCCCAAATCCACATACTTTTACTTTAAAGCATGCATTAAGTATATAATCATTGAGCTATGGTTAGTATTTTACTTCTCCTTATATTCACAACTGTGGACCAAGTTAAGATTCAAAAGGTATATCCTATTAATTTAACGTTCTCTTTAGCATTGCAGTGTTGGAGAAACTCACCTTGGGTGGCTTGTGCTTTTGGTTGTCTGTGATATCTTCTTCTTCAGTATCTGAAGCTTGGCGAAACTGCAGAGTGCCAGTGTTGATATAAAAGCCTCCATACTTTGTTGTTAAAGAAGCAGGTACTAATTCATCATACTAGATTAAAAGGAAAAACTTTAAAGATATATCCTATTGTCTATAACTCTAAATGTCAAAGAAATTCATTCACCATGGAAACATTTTCCTTAAAAACCAACTGCAAAACTGACTGCAAACCTAGCAATCCCACTGCTGGGTACGTGCCAAGGGCATCATGCTTAATTTAAAAGAAATAAAATGAATGGGGAGGGGGAGAAGTTAGGATAGCAATTAGGATGTCTGCACTCTTGTGGTTCAATGTAGCATTATTCACAACAGCCAAGATACAAAATAATCTGAGTGTCTGTTAATAAATGAATAGATTTTTAAAATGTGGTCTATTAATACAGTGGAATAGTATTTTAGCCTTAAAAAACAGGAAATTCTGTCATTTGCAACAACATGGATCAACCTAGAAAAATACCATATAATCTCCCTTACATGTGCAATCTAAATAAACTAAACTTAGAGACGTAGGGTAGAATGGTAGACAGATGCTCAGGGGGAGTAGCAGAAGAGGAAATGAGAGGTGCTGGTCAACAAGTTCAAAATTATAGGTAGACAGGAAGAATATGAACTGGTATTCTATTGCACTGTAGGGTGATTATAGTTAATAATAATGTATATTTCAAAATAACAAGAGAGGAATTTCAATGTTCTCACCAAAACAAATGATTTTTAAGGTGACAGATATGACACTGATCATTTGCAAAATGTACACGTCAAAGCATTATGTTGTACCCCCCTGAATATGTGCAATTATAATTTATCAATTAAAGAAAAAGAAAAAAGAACTGCAATGATGAAGTTCATAGAATAAATTTAGAAAAAGTTCATTATCTGGAATAAAAGTCAGTTCTAATCATTTGGTATATTTAACAAAGGATATTACCTGATGAGAAAAAGTTAAGGATCACTACCACTATTTCTTTCTTCATTCTCACTGCTACTATTCTTAATATCAATTTTTTTAATACCTCATTTTATTTATTTATATTTATTTGTATGTGGTGCTAAGGACTGAACTCAGTGCTTCACACATGCTAGGCAAGCACTCTACCACTGAGCCACAATGCCAGCCTGGTTTCAAATGTTTTTGATGAGAAGTTTAAACACAGTAAAACAGATGGCTGAATGACCATATAAAGAGATTATAATCATACAATTATTCTGTCTTGGTGAGATATATATCTATCTATATATATCTATCTATCTATATATATACATATATATTTTTTTTTTTTTTTTTTGGTGGGGGGTGGTACCAGGGATTGAACTCAGGGGCACTTGACCACTAAGCCACATATCCCCAGCTCTGTTTTGTATTTTATTTGAGACTGGGACTCACTGAGTTGCTTAGCACCTTGCTGTTGTTGAGAATGGCTTTGAACACACAATATTCCTGCCTCAGCTTCCCAGGCCTCTGGGATTACAGGTGTGCGCCATTGTGCCTAACCCTTCATTCCTTTTTCAATTTGGCAGCCTAAATGTGAAATTATTTTTAATGCTAAAAAGCATTTATTTTCAGATATTTTTAGTAATAAGTACATGATTCTAAAAATTAATTAGAACCAGATTATTTTCATTTTTTATAAAATAATTTGCAAATGTGGAAAGTTTACTGAGAACACAACAAGGAATCATTTAATTAGATTACAATTGTTTGATGCCTGGATTATCTCATAAACAGAACAAAATAATTTGTTAAGGGCAATGATAGTAAATTAGTTTGGAAGTCAACTTGTATAATAGTTTGATTTCCTCTTATAAAATAAGGACCTATATTGTCTTACAAATGTCAGTAACCAACTATATAACTTAACAACTCTATCTACAAAATTATCTTTTTTTTTTTTTCCAAAAATCATCTTTTTAGAGCAGTAACTTTCAAATTTTCTTCCCCATAACACATGTGGAAAATCCACTGCACATCAAAACCAAGCATATGGGCTTGGGGTAGTAGCTCAGTGGAAGAGCACTAACCTAGCACATGTGAGGCACTGGGTTCAATCCTCAGCACCACATAAAAATAAATAATCAGCATACTACAGTGACACAGTCATATCAATGTTTATAGCAGCTCAATTCACAACAGCCAGACTATGGAACCAACCTAGATGCTCTTCAACAGATGAATAGTTAAAGAAAATGTGGTATATATACACAATGGAATATTACTCAGCCTTAAAGCCAAAAACTATGGCATTTGCCACTAAATGGATGGAGCTGGAGAATATTATGCTAAGCGAAATAAGCCAATTCCGAACACCAAAGGCTGAATATTTTCTCTGATATGCAGATGCTAATTCACAATAAGCGGGGGGCTAGGGTAAAATAGAGGTACTTTGGATTAGGCAGAGAAAAGTGAAGGGTGGGGAGGGGGTTTGGGAGTAGTAAGGATAGTAGAATAAATTGGACATTATTACCCTTTAAGGTAATAATTACTTCTTTAAGGCTGAGTAATATTCCATTGTGTATGTATACCACATTTTCTTTATCCACTCATCTGTTGAAGGGCATCTAGGTTGGTTCCATAGTACATATATGAATACTTGAGTGGTGTGATTCTACATCATATACAACCAGGAGAATGAGAAGTTATACTCCAGTTATGTATGTTGCATCAAAATGCATTCTACTGTCATGTATAATTAATTAGAACAAATAAAAAGGTAAATAAATAAAATGAAGGTATTGTGTACATCTACAACTAAAAAAATTCTAAAAACAAGTGTATACATACATAATAAAATTATGTGATCTTTAATAACTCCTAATCTATTTGATTTCATATTCTTTAAAAAACTAGTCATACCCTTTATTTTTTATTTTTTTTTAAATATTTATTCTTAAGTTTTAGGTGGACACAATATCTTTATTTTGCATTTATGTGGTGCTGAGGATCGAACCCAGTGCCTCGTGCATGCTACGTGAGCACTCTACCACTGAGCCACAACCCCAGCCCCAAGTCATACCCTTTAAATAGACATATAAGCCAATTATAGCTTGAAAAAGTCAGTTTGTATTTTAAAATACTCTAAATGCTACAAAGGAGCTGGGGATATAGGTCAGTGGGTAGAGTGCTGGCCTCGCATGTACACGGCCCTGGGTTCAGTCCCTAGCGCGTGCGCACACACCCACAAAGTCTAAATGCTATAAAAGAAGTTATTAATTAAAATTATTTACAAAAGTCTACATACTATAGATTTCAACTGTAAGGAAAAGCCAAAACTGTGCAGACAGTTATATGTCTGTCACAGGCTAGGAGAGAAGGGAGGGATAAATGGGCAGAGCATAGAGGATTTTTAGGAAAGTATCACTACTGTAATACTATACTATATACTATATTACTATAATGGTGGATACATGTCATTATACATTTGTTCAAACTCAAAGAATGTACAACTGGTGGGAACATTGATGTGAACTATGAACTTTGGTGATACTGGTGGATCAATGTAGGTTCCTCAATTGCAACAAATGAATGACTATGATATAGAATATTGATAGTAGGGGAGGTTGTGTGCCTTGGGGCAAGGTGTACATGGATGCTCTCTGTACTTTCTGCTTACGTTTTCTGTGAATCTAAAACTGCAGTAGAACATAAAGTTTATTACTTTTTTTTTTAAGCTATTTATGTAAGCATGCATAAATGTTTACCCATGAGTTCCTTTTTGGATTATTCAGGTTTTGAAATCTGATATAATGTTAACATTATTGCTAATGCTTTGTACTTGCTTTATGCTTCAGCATATTTATATTCATTGCCTTATTTGGGCCTCAGAATAATTCTGAGCAAGTAATGGTAGAGAAAACCAAGTGATGCTATAAAGCCTGCTCCTGGTTACATGGTGACTTAGAAACTGATGTAGAACTAGATTCTAGGACTTCTACCTTGAGTTCCAAATCACAGTCAAGACTCTTGAAACATTCCATAACCACACTGGCTGTTAACCTTTTTGATTGTGGAAAGGTATCCCTATCTCATGTAACTCTATATCATGTACAACCAGATCAATGAGAAGTTATACCCTATTTATGTATGATGTATCGAAATGCATTCTACTGTCATATATAACTAATTAGTACAATAGAAATATATTTAAAAAGAAAAAGGTATCCCTACTCCAAAGGGCCCTATTGATATGTCATAGTTAGTCAGGACACACAAAAAAAATTTAAAAGTATGACAGGATATTCCATATGCATCATGCTGGATGACGACCTTCCTATCACATCACTCTCTTGCCTGTAATGCTTTGTCATCAACTAACTATACAAGAAAGCACTGTAACCACAGGCAAAAGACATGCTAATTTGTGAGTAGTGTAAAAGTTAAATAGTGTCACTCTGCACACTCTAAGTAATCACTGTACACTGTATAGATATTATAATCCCAGGGATTAGATTACTAATGGACAATAATAGAAGAACATACTCCCTAAGGCAAAATAGGAACACCCTCATTCATATGCTACATGATCAAGAGATTACTACCATCCTTATGAAATCCTGCTTCCTCTTAGAAGAAAAAGAATTTCAGGAGAAAAGCTATAGGATTCGATCAAAACAGACTGATATTAGAGGCTGAAACCACTGTGATAGTAAGGCATACTGCAATTTTAAAATTAAGTGTATTTTATAGATGTCTGCCAAGTCAAGTTCAATCCAGTGGCACCAATATTGCTTTGTCTCATCTTCAAAGTCATTTCAAAATATACCTGTCCAAAGTAAGGGAATATTAAAAAAAAAAAAAAGAATTCAAGATGAAAATACCATTTGACCTATAAATTCCATTGCTTAGAAATTTAGCCTACCCATATATTTGTACTCTATAAATACACTGCATATACATTTACTTAAGTAGATAAATGCATACAATATGCTCAACTATTTGTAAACATATAACACCAGAAACAATTTAATGCACATCAACTAGGATTGGTTAAATAAATTATGCAATTTAGGTATGTCCCCAACAACCATTAAAAGGAATGTATCTCGATCCTAATATGTTTTCTAGTTTATAACTATCTTGTGTTTTTTTTTAATCATAACATAATAGTAATCAATTGATGGTAATCAATATACCAATATATTATATATTCATTTCATTAAAATCAAAAACATAACAAAAAAATACAACACCAAAAATCTCTTAAGCCTCACCTCCAGAAATTCTAATTAAGTCTGAGTTAAGACAAGAATCCCCAGATTTTTACCCCTGATTAAGAACCATTCATTAACATAAAGTTTTCAGTACTAAACCATTAATTTAATGTAATAGCTTTTCATTTTCCTTTTTTTTCTTTTGCCCTCATTTTCCCCTTTCTTAAACTTATTTTCATTCTTAGTTTGGGAAAGGGAGGAAGACAGAATCATTGCTAACTACACATCTGGAAACTAGCATCTACTAAAGAATCGTGATTCTCGAAGGACCTAAGAACAAGCACAGCTTATCAAAAACAACAATCTAGTACAACGTCAACAAACCATGATTGCCCACCAAATCCAGCTGCCAAGAAAAAGGATTTCATGTTTTTTAAATGGTTGAGAAAAAAATTACAAGATTCTGTGACACATGAAAATTACACAAATTTAAGTGCTGGGGTGTAAACTCAAGTGTGAGAGCACTTGCCTGGCCTATGTGAGGTCCTGGGTTTGAGCCCTAGCCTGAGAGACAGAGAAAGAGAGAGAGAGACAGACAGACAGACACGAGACAGAGAGAGAGAGAGAGAGAAAATATAAATAAATTTTAAAAGACTTTGAGGGGCTGGGATTGTGGCTCAGTGGGTGAGGCACTGGGTTTGATACTCAGCACCACATAAAAATAAATAAATAAATATAAAGGCATTGTGACCACCTACAACTAAAAAAAGTTAAAAAAGAATTTGAATATCAGAGTTCATCCAAAACATCTCATTATAAATGCCATATTTATTTGCTTAAATATTGTCTGTGGCTGCTCTTACACTATAATGGCAGAATAGCTGTGACAGTACCATATGGCCCACAAATTCTAAAATATTTACCATGTGGCCCTTTAAAGAAAAAGATGTTTGCCAAAACCTGGTCTAGTATAGCAGTGTAATGACCCACTGTGAGCCAACCCAACATTACAAAATTTTAAGTCTTCAGTATGCCTTAAAAATTTTTTTAAAAATCTTTAGGGGCTGGGGATGTGGCTCAAGCGGTAGTGCGCTCGCCTGGCATGCATGCGGCCCGGGTTCGATTCTCAGCACCACATACAAACAAAGATGTTGTGTCCGCCGAAAACTGAAAAATAAATATTAAAAATTTTTTAAAAAATCTTTAAGCAGTAAATATGGCTTTAAAAAGCACAAACAAGGGCTCAGGTTGTGGCTAATGGCAGAATGCTTGCCTTGCACATGTGAGGCACTGCGTTCGATTCAGCAGCACATAAAAATGTATAAACAAAATAAAAATACTGTGTCCATATATAACTTTAAAAAAGCATAAACGAACACATTCATTGAACAAGTTAAGTTACCCTTGACTTCCACTATTCCAATAAATTTGCTGCTATATTAAAGACATGTTACTCACAGCCTCTGAGTTATCAATAAATGGATCTGTCTCATCATAGCCAAAGCCTATGTCAATTAAATCTTGTAGCCGATCCTTCCGGTGCTTACGGGGTTTCCCACCCTGCAAAAAACAGACACATTAGACTGATTCAGTACTCATGCTGTTTCCATAAAGTTTAAAAAAACCCATTCAAAGAATTCAAATAATTTTTGTAAATAAATCCCTGCAGATGGTTAAGTCTCCCCATACCTTATATAAGCAGCTGTGCTTAGTGACTTGCCTTCATAGCTCAGAGTGAGAAAAGAGGAACAAAGTAACTTTACAATGGAAAACCTGCCCAACTTTACATCAGCCAGATGACATCAACAGGAACAATGATAAGTAGATGGCACATATCCCTGATATATATGATAAAAACTGCACTTCCCTTCTGTGGGTCTTCCTCTCAACTGTCTATAAAACTAGCACAGCCATGAGAAAAACATCAAACAGACCAAATTGATAGTCTATAAAATAAGTTCTCCAAAGCTGTCAAGATTATCAAAAAAAAAAAAAAAAAAAGGAAAAATCTGAAAAACTGTCATAGTCCACACCAGCCTAAAGACACAAAGACTAAATGAGCTGTGGTACCATGGATAGGATCTAGGAACTGAAAAAGTACATTAGGGAAAACTAGTAAAATCCAAATAAAGTTTAGAGTTTAATGGTAATGTATCAATGTCAGTTCCTTCATTATAACAAACATACTACATTGAATGTAAAATATTCATGTTAGTGGGTGAGGACTATATGAAAACTCTTTGTATTATCTTGTTTAACTTTTACTTTTTTGGAATTGGAATTAAACCTGGGTAAACTGAGCTACATCTCCAGCCCTTTTTATTTTTTATTTTGAGACAATGTCTCACCAAGTTGCAGAGGCTGGACTACAGGTTGAGATCCTCCTGCTTCAGCCTCCCAGATTATTGGGATTATGAAAGTATGCACTGCTATGCCCAGTTCTAAATTGTAGCTTTTCTGTAATTTAAAAACTATTCTTAAAATTATTTTTTAAATGTCATATAATCATACACATAAACACAAGAAAATGATAAATGAGTGCATACAAAAACTGATGAAATGAGCTGGGCATGGTGGTTTATGCCTGTAATCCCAGTGGCTCAGGAGGCTGAGGCAAGAGGATCACAAGTTCAAAGCCAGCCTCAGCAACTTAGCAAGACCCTGTCTTAAAATAAGGGTTAGGGATGTGGCCCAGTGGTAAAGTACCACTGGTACCAAAAACAAAATAAAACAACAACAAAAAACCCACATGGTATCAAAAACTGGTGAATCAGAATAATGTCTGTGGTCTGGTTAGTTGTATTGTGCCACGTTTATTTCCTAGTTTTGTAACTGCAGTTATATAAAATATTACCACTGGCAGAAGTTGGGTGGTAGGCATATGGTCTTTTTTACTATAGTTGCAACTTCTTATTAGTCCATAATCCTTTTTTAAATAATCATTTTTAAAAAGTAATACAATGTCAAAACAAACTACTTCCTGTAGATTCCACTATTCAGATGATACTTTATGGAGCCTTTTGACTATTCACAGTATAAAGAAAAACTCACTTATGTTTGTGTGCACACATATACACACACACATTTTTTTATGTTAAAATAAATGAGTTAGGAATGTGGTTCAGTGGTAAATCTACCACAGCTCAGTGACAGATGGGCCAGAACCATTAAAAAAAAAAAAAAAAGTGTGTGGGTGTGTGTGTGGGTGTGTGTGTGTGTATGTGTGCACACAAACATACTTGCTTAGCCTATAAGTTTATTTTGGATTTTTAAATTTTAATTTTTACTCACTCATATTCAATTACTCATTCTAAGCATCCTTCTAATGCCTCCCTACCCCATTTCTTTCAGACTGGGTCAGGGGTGAAGAAGAGGCTCAGAATGGTGAGGTAAGGGGTGGGGAAGATAGAAGATAGCACTCAGGATTTTGCCTACCAAAATGCTACCACTGAGCCACAGCAGGCCTTGTGGAAAGCAAGAGATTTAAGATGTGAACTTCTAGAGCCGGGGTTGTGGCTCAGTGGTACAGCACTTGCCTAGCATGCGTGAGGCACTGGGTTTGATCCCCAGCATCACATAAAAAACAAATAAATAAATAAAATAAAATAAAGGTTTTGTGTCCATCTACAACTAAAAAAGTATTTAAAAAGAAAGATGTGAATTTCTATGACCTCATTTCATTTCAGTCCTCACAGTGAATGTGTGATTCTAAAAGTTAAAGAGGGACACTTTTATGCCACATGGCCCTTAAATAAAAGTTGTTTGCTTCCATGTAAAGAAATTGTGATCTGTTCCAGTGCTTGAGAGGAAAAATGGTGATACTAGACTTACTGAGAGACATCACCAACAGGGTGTGATCCCTTTCTACGTGATTTGCAAAGATAATTCTGAACAAATGCTATGTTTGCATTCCACATAGTTGTTGAAAACCTTACCCCAACATGAGCTATGGCTCCAGGGTTTGCTTCTAAGTGGACAAAATACTATTACACTACCATCACTACCCAAGAAATCCCTATGGTGTGAGGTGAAGTGGTGGATTCCTTATTTATTATTATTTTAATGACAGGTTCTCACTAAGTTGCCCAGGCTGGCCTTGAACTCATTATCTCAAGCAATCCTCTGGACTAGCCTCTTTAGTAGCTAGGATTACAGATGCATACACTTTGGTTCCCATATTTAAAAATTTTACAATTTAGGTAAGTTTCAAAAGCAATTCTGGGGCTAACACAGGGTGGCAAACTTGTTATTATGCTAAATAAAGCCACCAAAAGCATAATTTCAGAACAACAATCTTTCTCAAGGAATAATAATCATATATATATGCACATGTATTAAGCATATATACAGAACATGCTTAACTACACAACACACACACTAAATTGTCCCTATTTTCTCATTTTGCCAGATCTGCACACTGGGACCTTTACACCAGGTTATAGAATTACAGTAAGAATCAGATGTCGGGGACAGAAAGAGTTATTTCTCGGACAGGAATTATTCTACTGAGGAGAAATTACACATCAAGCAGAGGAATATATAGGACTTTCATCCTCATAGAGGGAGTTTCATCCTCATAGTAGGGGCTTGCAGAGGGAGAGAAAGACCTAGAATGTATATAAAAACTCACAGACAAAACTAATGAAGAAGTCTAGGCCTCACATATTAAGTATATTCAAGTTATAGGAGATAAAATAGATATGGTAGGAATTTAAGAATAAATATCTGAGTGGACAGCATTGTGCAGAAATGGAAAAAAAAAAAGCAGCATTAAATTCAGTGGGGGAAATGATTTATAAATCAAATAAATAGAACTGAAGTAAGAACAATTTTACCTATCAAATTATAAATTTATACAGATGAGGGCTGCTTTAATACTGCTAAAAATATACCAATTAAATATCTTTAGAAAACAATCTGAAAGCCTCTGACAAAACTTTATAAAACTCTTCTATTTTCTTCTTTTGCTTCTTCTGTTTTCTAATTTTTCTCTAAAGTATTATTTCATAATGGAGTATGCTAAAACAATTTTTTAAAACCCTTTATCCTATGTGATCCAATAATTCTACTAAATTATATAGTTTATTTCAAATCACTACTTAGATTTAGAAGTATCTGTTAAGGGTTGAGACAGCAGCTCAGTGGTAGAGTACATGCTAAGCCCATTTGTGAGGCCCTGAGTATAATCTCCAGCACCAAAAAATAAAAATAACAAAAAAAATCTGATAAGACTTATACTACAGAAAATAATATGTTAAAATATCAGAAAGTTTTTTCAGGGGCTGGGGTTGTGGCTCAGTGGTAGAGCACTTGCCTACCACATGTGAGGCAATGGGTTCGAACCTCAGCACCACATGAAAGCATTTAATAAAGGTATTGTGTCCATCTACAACTAAAAAAAAAAAAAAAAAAAAAGAAAAAGAAAGAAAGAAAAGAAAAAGAAAGTTTTTTTTAGTTAAAAGTTCTTGTCTTCAAGAATCTTAAAACAAGATAATTATTCAACAAATTAACTTTTCTAAGCATGTACCACACACTGGCCTTATGGATTTTACAGTATTGTGAAGAGGGGAAAGATTAAACAAATAACTACAGCAGTGATAGACAGCAGAAAGGAAAGATGCAGGTTGTATGGAGACCTTTTTTTTTAGTTTTAAGTGGACACAATATCTTTATTTTACATTTATGTGGTGCTGAGGATCGAACTCAGTGCCTCAAGCATGCTAGATGAACTCTCTACCACTGAGCCACAACCCCCAGCCCTTGTATGGAGACCTTTCTAACAGAGTCTCTGGTCAAAGCTTAACTTACTCATTTATGCACAAACAAGGCAAATGAAATGAAGCACTGAAGGGATTAGAACAGGGACATAACCCCCCAAAATTAGTGTTGAACAAAATCACCATGAGTATCACACAGAGAATGAACACAAGATAAAACAGAAAGGAAAAAAATGGAGATTTGAAAGTCACGGGTTACTAAAGGCGTAAAGTATATACTTACATTTCAATCATGATGTTGATGGTGCTGATGACAACAATTACCAAGTATTAACTCTGTATTAGATCCCATGTAAGTACTATTATTTTTTAATTTCATGTTCAGCAAATGGGAAAAACAAAAGCTGACTAAGGACAAGCAACTTGTCTAAGGTCACAAAGAAGTGGTGAGCTAATCTTCAAACTCATAGATGTCTAGAAAAATTCTGTAAGAGAAGTTATAAAGACTAAGGGGTCCTATTTTGGATGGACACACCTTAATCTCAATACACCAAAACTGAAATCAGTGTTTGCACTGACGTTTGTCTCCAAATTAATTCCTCTCCCTTGGCATTCCCATCCATTTTGTTTATTCTTACCATTTTTCTGCCTTCAAACTTCATACTGACTAAAATTAAAGTAACAATAACAATTGTAAACAAGGATGTAGAACAATTTGACATCTTGTACATCACTAATGGGAATACAAGTGATATAGCCATTTTGGAAAACAGTTTGATAGTTTCTTATAAAGTCAATCATACAGTTATACCTTGTGTCCTAACAATCCCACTCTTACATAAA